AGTCAATTTGTGTACAGGTCTACACTTTTAGGTTGTTCTTCTGAACTAGTAATTGACTGTTGTATACCAGATGATTTGAAAAAGTATGTGCAAGATGCTTGTAATATACCACGATTATATATGTATATATGTCGAATGTCTAAATATATTACTTACACCCAGGACACTAGATCAAGTCTTTTGTTCCAGTCTTTTGAGTTTTTTGAGTTTTTTTTCTTTTTATTTTGCTGTGAAGTAGTCGTGTTTCTGAATTTAATTACTTTTTATGCAAATTGCCCGATGTAGGGCCCGATCAAGGTAACACTCAAGTAAGTTAACAGCTGGTTCAGAGAAGTATAATAGTTAAAAACCGCTTTTGGTATTTATTGGATTGCATTCAAGAACTTCAAAGCTGAATAATGATCTTATAATATTAATAATATTATGGTATTACTTAATAAACGGATAATATAAACCGTTTACCACATACCGTCTCTAAAATACTATTCTGTAAAAACATTGCATTATTTGCAACCCTGGACGAACTCAGCACTGAAAAATACATGAAATGGAACGTACAAACTTTGGACTTTCATAAGAACGACCATTCTGCAGTAGTATCTAAAATGAAATAAACTCAATTATCTTGAGGAAGCTATACATACTATATAGCAAGTACGTAGAACTCTATAGAAAAAATGTGATTTGGTGGAACTAAACACAAATAAACTAAGCAAAATTATGTTTCCATGACTGAGTATAACACTCTCAGATTTAAAATTATTTAACATAAGTTGTAATTTTTGGATCTAAAGGAAAGGTATTTTTGTGGTATATAAACCAATAGCAAAAAAACGGCAACCCAATTTAGATGTGCTTGGATACCCACTACTAGTTTCTGGTTGCAATTGGATGGTATTGGGCGCAAAAGAACGGTACTTACAGAAAAGTATAAACCACAACCAAAAAAAAAAAGATTTGAAGTATAAAATTAGTAGCTAAATTCCGTGTCAAAAAAATAACAGCTTAATTTAGAGTTATTTCACACAGCATTATTTTAGCTTTATCTTTGGCAAATCGCATCGGATGTTTATAAACATAGGTTTCAATTCTAAAAAAATTTACTCACGACCGTATTAAGAATCGTGTGTTGCTATACGTTTTAAAAGTAAGAAATCTACCCATCTATGTGTATATACTATTCAAACAATGATGCTGTTTGTTCTTTTGTATCATATCCAAAATTACCTTGATATATAATAGGTTTGTTCTATTTATCAGTCATGCTATGCGTTAGAATTTCGTAAGAAAATCTAATTTTTATTTATTTTTTAGATGACATATTATCAATTCTGAAAACGTCTAAAGAAACTAGACTACACTAGTTCATGTGCTTTCATGTGGTCGTATATAGAGAATATGGATATACGAAAAAACTGCTCACAAAAGTATATTACCGTATATTAAAAAAAAAAATTGGAAAACTACCGAGTTCTTAATTGCAATATCTCAAATCAAATCTAAAATTTTTTAATAAATAGAGTTATACTTTCCTCGACTAAGTAGTATTTGACTAAGTCGTTTTTAATACTTTCTTAAACGCAACTAGACCTAAGGAACACTTCTATGAATGAGTATAGTATATCTTTATTCATTTCTATAATGAGTGACACTATTATGGCTGTAAAGCATTTTAACAACTTAATAGACCGATTAAAAAACTTATTGTTACCTGACTGATTTAATGATATTAAAGAAAACATTATTGATAAAAAGTTCGGAGTCAAAGAGAAATGCAGGTATGAGCCTACATGAATCGAATCGTAACTTTAAACTTTATTTTTAAATGCCGTTCAGAGATGGGAAGCGCTTTAGTACGCCGTATACCACGTAAGGCGTATAGACGTAAGGCGAAAGAATAACTTATGGGTAATACTCATATTGTGCTGGTACCTCTAAAACTGCGAAGATACGTAACTTGTAAATAAAGCGAATTCATGAAAGCATTTAATTCGACTTTACTTCACGCTTTGATACGTTCCAAGTTTGATTTTCACGTCTTTGTTTTTTTTTTAACTCTGAAGACACTGAAAATGTTACAAATGTTTAGTACATTACTTCTTACTATTCTGTACGTATGAGTCTTGCAATTCTGTTCATTGCACGCTAAGAAGATAATTACTTAGCGCTAGATTCATAAGGGTTTCAGAATCTATTATGCCGCATCGTGCATGATGTTCTACAAATTTCAAATTTCCATTAGATTGCGCACAGAAGCATTACGACAACAACAAATTGAATTCTATAGTATAACCATAACATCATCAATCTGTATTCTCCCAGATTGTATCTTGCTTGGTTGATTCTTTAATAACAGTGCTCAAGTCTACATTACTAATGAGTTGTAAGCATGTGGACTTAACATTATAAACTCAAATACTCGTATTGTGCAATATGTGCGAGAAGTACGAGAAGTACTGTATTCCGCGAAGCTGAACGTGAAATATTTGCTATTGTGGGTAACTAATTTTACCGAAATAAAATTGCTTTGTACTTTATCGCTATATTATCAGTTGAAAATACTGAATTTGGTCCCAACACATTTTTATACCTTTTAATTACTTTAAAGCATAAAACAAGTAACTTCACCTCCTCAACCTCCATAGGGTTTTCACCTCATACGAGTATATTTGATTTAAATTAGGTTGTATTTTACAATTAGTGTATTTTTAAAACTACTTACACTCATCAAAACTCTAACTACACAATTAAGAATCGAAAATATACAACTTAATAAATCACCTTTAAGCACGACGGACATATAAAAAAATTTCCTTAATCACTAAACCAACCCAAGTAGAACGTAAATAAATAAATTTACTACGATTTTTGAACTGAATAAAAACCGTGCACTGTTATTGTTGTTGTTGTTGTTGTTGTATCTGACTGAAATTGCATTGTAGTAGATAAAAAAATTATATGCTATACAAAATATACACATTAAGATACATAAAGATATATTTATGTATATATAATATATATTGCAAGTTAACTTTATTTTGCAATTATTGCAAGAACATGGGCATATAGATAGCCCCATAGCCCCATATAAAAATATTATCTATTCTTTTTTATTATTATGTGTACATATAATGATAGTGAAGGAAATAATAGCTTGCATGTTAACATAAGTGAAATAATTATTTTGAAATTATGCAATTTTCTTAAAATAAAACAAAATGTAATAATATATACATATATACATTTGTACATATGTATAGATTGTAAGTACTATAGACTGAGGCGAATATAAAAAATCTTTCGATCACATTTCACAAAGTTTGATTTTAACATACCAGAATATATGGAAAATCTATGGCTGAAGGCTGAATTATAAACAAATTAGATTTTTTTATTCCACATTCTTCTTTACTTATTTATTCCAAATATGAATGTTATACAATCATATTAATTATATGTTAGAAATAATGTTTTTAAATTTCTCTCTGTCTCTAGCAGTATTACCAAGGCTTCAATCGTTCTTAACACAGTTCAAGTTTGGATGTTCCTCACCCAAGACATTAGTTTTCTTTCCATGCCACGTTTGCCTTTGATTCTGCCTCCACAATCAGTTGCAGCAATTTATATTTTGTACTTTGGATAATAGGACCAAAATACCTCGTTTTTCTTATATTGATAGTTTTTAGGAATACTCTATCTTTTCTTAAACATGTTAGAACTTTTTCATTTAAAACTTTGTTCGTCTAAGGAATATTCAGAATTCGTCTGTAGCAACATTGTATAATTATTTTTTATATATATGTAATTCAGGTTTTAATGTTAATGTATTCTATAATTGTTTCTTTGTGATATATACGAAAATATTGTTACATTGTTTTAATATTATATAGTACCCTGATGATGACTGTAGATTATAGTCAAAATATTGGTTAAAATAAAATCTTTTAAAAACAAAAAATTTTTTATAAAGTTTATTTAATAACTTTTGACCAATTAGCACATTAAAAAACAAAATTATTAATAAAAATATTTGGTCATTAAAACAATAAATTATCAAATAAGATAACTTAAAAATTGATTTTGAGTTTTATTACAGACATAAAAGAAATAATTGACTGATAGAATAGAAGTAAAAGTAAATTTCCCTTAGAAATACCACACCATACGCCTATCCAACGAAGCGAAATACCTTGAAGTTATCTTTGATAAGAGACTCGAATGGTGAACTCCTTAGAAAAAGAATAAACAAGGCAACAAAATATATTATAGTCTGTCACATTCGTTACGGTACAACTTGAAGGCAACGCTCTAAACTAACTTTTGAACATATAAAACCATGATAACACCTATAACTATAACTATTAATGTGCTGTTTTATGGTGGCTAAAATCCAAGCAAATAAGTGCCGAAAAGAGCTAACACTCTTACACATAGTTATTGAATATAAAGCAATAAGAGTCACTTATCATCTTCCCAACTTATGGTCCTACATGGAGGATGAACTCAAAGCATATCTTCAAAGTCTGAGAACCGTTATAAATGACCAATAACCACCGTTCCAATTACTTCATATACTACGTAAAGTCATCATCTCTTCCTGTAACTTCAAAATGATATTTCTTAAAAGAGGTGAATGAAGAACCAGGGACTTTAAAGCGTCTATGTGGTTTACTAATGGGCAGTTTCTAAAAAATATCACTTTAGTACCTATAACATTATAACAATTCCACAAAATCTTGCAGTTAATACGGCTGAGAAATAATTGTGTAAATTGTTCATTATTACTATAATCCATACTAATACTGATGTTATAATATTAATGATTGATGATAAGATATAGTAAATGACAAAATATATTTTAAGTAATAATTCTACATTCGTACCTATTATAAAACAACACTTAACAACACTAACTCGTTACCATGTCAGTGACTATGCTTTTGTAAATAAACTAAATTGACAAAACTTTATTTATAACCAAACCTTAATGAAGTTAAGAAATGGATGAAGAACTTGCGGCAAAATTTAAAGAACTTCATCAGAAGATTCGTGAAAATGAGTTAATGAAACCGGATACCGCCATTGTCAATACCAGAAGAGTAAAATTGAGTGATTTAAAGGGAGCCCTTAGTCAGATCAACTTGAATGTAAGAATTTTGATTATAAAACCAAAATACATCGTGATTAGAATTATTTACTGCAGATAACAGCCAGTGATTATAAATTGGATTTAAATCTTAACACAAAGTCGGCAGCTGATACCAAAACCAATGACGTTCAACATGTTCCGAAAACTAGAAAACCCGTTAATCCGTATATTAAAATTGTGCTCAGAAAAACCAATCTTTTTGTGCTATATGAGCAATCCAGTTACACAGCTCTGCGAGATACAGAGGAAGGTAAACAAGTAGAACAAGAAAATGAACAATATGAAGCTCTTTTAAAGGGTCGCAAGAAATGGCGTTCTACACGCAATGCAGAAACGCAAACTATAGGTAAACTCTTCAAATCTCGAGAAGTAAATACCGAAACTGTCAAAACGGATCATGTGGGAGTGTATGTGTCAAATTTTGAAATGTTTGATACCTACAAGGATATGGAAAAAACCACTCAAAGCGTTGATATTGATGGTGAAAAAACTATGGAAGTAACAACATATAAACTACAGGGTATAGATGAGTTTGAAGATATAGGACGTAAACCAAATTTCAATCTGGCAATGATGTTAACCATGCGCATTCTCGCGGGCAATGTATATGAAAAGCAACAGCGTCGTTTCCGTAATATGTCAATGCCAGACCCACTTGCTGAAAATGTTGAATTTAAATATCGCCTAGAACTTCTGTGGCGTTTTAGGTCTGTCTCCTTAAAAGAGTGTGGTGCTGTTGCCGATATGAGCTGGTGCCCATGTAATGGTGATATTATTGCAGTAGCTTATGGTATTTATGGATATAAGGAAGAACTGCAACAACAATCTTCTAAGAAAGGTTATATATGTATTTGGAATATAAAAAATCCAGTAAATCCTGAACGATGCTATAATTACAATGTACCAGTAATGTCAGTTGAGTTCTCAACATATAGAGCTAATTTAATAGCAATAGGTCTATATGATGGATGCGTGCAAATACGCAATGTAATGGAGCCTGATTTACCACCTATAGCAATATCCAAACGTAACATTTCACCAGTTGTGACACTCAAATGGTTGCCACATATTGATGGTAAAACAAGACAGACTCCAATTGAACCAATTTTGGCTTTATTTCAAGAAGGTTTAGTGAAGAAATATAATGTTTTGAACAGTGTTGAACTATTTGGTTCACAACAAATTCGTTTAAATCGTGTTAAGGGAAATACAGAGGGACTTTCTGTAGAACGTGTGACTGAGCAAGCTCAAGCAAATCAGCAACCTCAAGGGCTCAATCTTTCTTTAGATCCGACGGAACCAGGCATCTATTATGTACTAACTGATGAGGGCTGCATACACAAATGCTCAATCAACAACACAACCACAAACTTACATGTCTTGCAAGCGCATCATGCAGGCATAAATGGTATAGATTTTTCGCCATGGTCTCCGAAACTATTGCTTACCTATGGTAATGATTGGTGGGTTTAGACTGAAATTTAGTTTGGTAGTAATATAAAATACAATATAAATATATAAAATATACAGGTGCATACGTGTTTGGCTAGTAGGTATTTATAAGCCACTTATTACACTTCAGCACAAATACTTGCCTGTACATTCTGCTAAATGGAGTCTCACGCATTCAACAATCATAGTTGCCGTCAATCAAAGGACTGTAGATGTTTGGGATATAAGGCGTAGTACCATGAGACCGGCTTCATCTACAAATATCGATCCAGCATTTCACACTATATTTCGGTAAGTTATCAAATTATGGTAAATTATTTATAAATATGGATCTAATATTCTAGGTTTTCCAAATGTGGGCGTTCATTGGCTCTTGGGAATGAGAGTGGCGATACTTTAATGCTTTCATTCGAAGATATGCCATTTCCTGCACACTTTCAGTACGACGTACTGGAGTCGGCCATCTTTCAAGCCATATTCATGAATAAAGAGTTAACTAAGATTGTGAAAAGTATGGGTTTTTTTGGTTATCCAGGAAAGCAAAAATATGATAATAAAAAAACTTACTAAGAAATTTAATTTGTTTTTTTATTATTTGAATATTTAATATTTTTATATTTATTACAGAGTGTTTAATTAGATGCATGGGAACTTAAAATGATAATACAAGACAGAAAAATTGTTGGAATAAAAGTCTTTTTTATTATAATCTAGTAAATAATTTCATGGTATTTATTTTTTGAATATAGCTATAAGTTACATGGTCCATTCAATCCATCCAATTTTTTACTATTTTTTGTAATATATGTGGCCATATGGCGTCAATGGTGGCATGAGTATTGGCTTCGAATGTTTCCAGAGTTGCTTTGTTTGTCAGTTATCGGCATAAACCAATGACTTAATATAGCCCGATAAAGAGTGATCGTGACGCGAAAGTAATCACACCAACGGGTAACCAGTTACCAGGACTACTTTTGGAAATAAAGTTCTTACCAAATTTATTTCGCAATAAGTAAATTTTTACCAAACCAAATGTGTTCAATGTTTAATTAAATAATTTTTGGAAACAAAAATGACTCAGCATGGCTCGATAGCGCTCGCCTTTTATCGTAACGGTAGCTTCTTCCTCATTTCGAAAGAAATAAGGACCGATCATGCCGGCAGAGTGTTATAGTTAATTGTTGATGATTTTGAATCGAGAAGAGTAAAATTAATGTCAAAACGATCGATAACTGCACAAATTGCTTGCTTACTAGGACGTTTGTGTTGACCGTAAAATGGACGAAGTTCTCTATGAACTTCACGAACAGATTTATTTTTTTCAAAGACCATTTCCACAATTTGGAAGCATTTTTCTAGCATGAAACGATTCATAATGAATTGCCAAGCCTTTCTGAACAGAAATGTCAACACAGTTTGACCTTCTCAGCTATCAAGCCATAGTTATCGACATCGATAATTCTCATGCAGCTAAAAAAAACACCAAATATTTATTTATCATATTATTTCATATTTTTATACATAATTTTAATATTTATTAATTTAGTATTCCATTTAATTGTTTAAATATTATAACAAAGTAAATTAGTACAGAACGGAGCTCTTATTAACCATTAAATGATCTCACAATAAAACTTAAGCTGAGTAAAAGAGAAAATAATTAAGTGGAGCTTATGGCTTCAAATGCAGTATTCCAAAGGCGACGAAGTTACTTTAATTTTAAATTGAATTTATCACTGCCATCACAAAAACTCTGTTTTTAAGGATAAAAATTATAAAATTGAATCCATTGAAATATTTGTCACTTTAAGATTGTACACCCCAATTTTAATAGAATAATAATCTCAACTAATTTGCTGAAGTATGTGTCAACGAATGGAAACAATCTTCAATCTTTTAATCTCAAATTTCTTGACTTATATACCGATTAACAACATGTTTAATAACTATATATTATATATATTTATACATATCATCAACTCTTGTTATTCTCATCAAAACCACATTTAGTAGATTTCGTACTGAATAATATTAATATCAATGATATATAATAAAACTGCTTTGTCAGTTAAATAGGCTCAAATCAACTTCCTGAACTAGCAAATACGAGTATTATTTGTAAGAGATATTTCTGAATTGCTTCACCAAAAACTTAAGATAAAGTAAAGGTTTTGTTGAACTTTAAATTAACTATTATGGGTACTTTTACCTTAACCAATCATTTTCGGGGTCTCTCTTTAATCACTCGGTTCCCAGTTGGAAAAAGACGTCACTACCAGAAAAATAGTTGAACTTATTATTAATACTCTTAACACAAAATTGTGACACACTCGACCAACAAATTTTTGGAAACCATGAAATATCCGTTCACTACTGTTTTGAAAGAACACTATCCAGAATCTTTATATGATAAAACAAAACAGCTAAATGTTGACTATTCTTCTAAGAAAACACAAATAAAATACTTCAGAACAAATTATTTTAAACTTATCAATGTGCTCTAGTACTTATCCCCATATGTTTAAGCCATGCTCAATGTGTTTGTATCTAAAATTGAAAGTAGGGCATTTAAACACAAGTGAAATAATTAGAATCGCTCATTATCAAAGCAATAACACAATGGGTTTTACATACATAAGCCACACAAAACCACAAGTCTGAATACTCCTAACCTAATACTTGTAGATATTTACGCTAAATGAAGTCATTAAAACGGCTTTGATAGCCGAGTAATTAAAATTTTGTAAATTTGTGATATCATTTCAGCTTGGTTCGTCGGACAAGTAACAACACAAATATTTACACTACAATCCGTGGTTGACTTAAAATAGTAATTTTTTGAAATTTATTCTATTTTTCAAGTTCAAAAGCTATTATTGCGGTTGCACATTTATATTTTTCCAAAGTTAAATACTTTAATGGAATATTCGTAGTACTACGGAATTGTGCTTACGGAATGGAGAAACACACTTTCATTCTACCTATGCTCCAGCCAGAACGTCAGAATATACTGGAATTTCCGAATGCCTACAACAAGATCGCTACGCCTTATACAACTGGTGCAGACTTTTCAAAACCCACACGTAACTTTCTGGAGAGAATTCAAGGAAATTTGAAACTACGTCCTTGCAAGATCATTTTGGTTGGCGATGTTGCAGTTGGGAAAACTACTATCGTACATAGGCAAGAAGCTAATAATATTTATTAAACAAATATATAGTACTCAGATTATTTATTATAATGCAAGCTACAAACATGCCAAACTGTTATAAATATAAGATTCTGTTATATACAAAATTATATGACATTCAAAAGATTTTGATCTTCGGTAAAGCAGAGCCTTGTTCTACAATAGGTTAGAACGTGTGTATCTTCCATAAGACATAATATTATTCAGTATTTTATTAAAAATATATTTAATTTATATAAATTAAAAATATAATATTACACTTTTTTTATAGATTTTGCTATGATAAATTTCAGTACAACTATAAAGCAACAATTGGCGTTGATTTCGAAATAGAAAATTTTACAATTTTGGGTCAAAACTTTTGTCTGGAAATGTAAGAATATTTTTTTATAATTTATACGCTTTAAACAATATAGATATTGTACAATATGATAGAAAATGTGTGTATGTTTTTAGGTGGGATACTGCAGGGCAAGAACGTTTTAAATGTATCGCACAGGCTTATTATCGAAATGCGAATGGTGAGTATATATTCACCACAGTACAATAATAATTCAGTGTTAAATTTAAACTAATATTGCAGTTATAATTGTTGTATTCGACATGTCCAAAGATGAAACTTTAAAATCCACACCTACTTGGCTTAAGAGTGCTTTAGCTGCAAATGTGAATTCCAGAGAAAAGCCTTTAATATTTTTAGTTGGTACAAAGTCCGATTTACTGGTAAGTTTTTATATATATTGAAAGTTAACATTATTATCTTTCATATTAGATTCAGAATCAGATTAAATCAAATCTAAACCCTAATGGAATCATAACGCTTTGGGGTAATAATTACGTTATTTGTCTCTAAAGTCAAAATTGCTTTAATTGCCACATAGGTTTAATTGTAAGAAATTTACAGCGTGAATGTAGCCAGTAGGCTGCTCTTGGGGCGTATTTGAAGGAATTTCTCTTTATATAATCTAACAAGCAGAAAACGAACGTGTTGAATTGTTTAACATTTATTTCTATTCATTGCTAAAAAGATTTATCAAGTCTGAAAACACAAACTGTGTCCAAAGATATATCGTAATTATGGTAGATTTAGCAAAACGCTGTGATTTATCTATTTATTACAAAATATGAAATACTACTTCGGTCATACACTAAGGGAGGGCCCACTATACGCCCCATTGGTTACACCCGCGCTTTACAGCCTCAAGTGGGTATCTATCAACTTCATAGACTCTGCCTATATAACTGTCTAACAAAAACAAGTATTTTCTTTTATATTTGATTACTTTAATTTCGATTTAAAGTCAACTCTAAAGCACTTCGCAATATCGTTTTACTCGGTAACATCACTACATATAATATGTATATTAATATTATTTTATTATTATATAAAATACAAATTAATATTATAATCTTAATATTTCATAATTAATATTTAACAAAATATTAAAATATAGTAATTGTATATCAGAAGTAGTTAAAATTATATTATTAAAGTGCTTCTTCACACATTGATTTTTCTGTATTAAAAGAACATGCTACTTTCTGCTGTAAATTTTGTCGCATGCGATAATTACTTTTAGGTGAACTCGCTGTAAGCGAGTTCAAGTAAATTTTAGGTGAAGTAAATTGAAATTTCCTTGACATTTTTTGCACTGCATTTATTTACACTTATTTAATGCATTTATTTACTATTTTTCTGTTAAAAATTTTTCTGTTTCAAATTAATTTATTTATTAATTAAATATCTTATAAAGTTTTTACAATGGTAATACCTAATTTAACCTATTCGAAATTCTGGTAAATACAAACATTCACTGCCACACCGACATAATTTTCTATTCCCCTTAATTTACCACCAATTTACTCGAACTCTCACACGGCCTAAAAACTGTATGAATAATTTTCTATAGCAATTTGTTTGTATTTACCTTTAGTCTTTATACAGAATACTTTTATTTTCATATAATAAATACATATTTTAATTATATTTGTGGACACAACAAATATAATAAATATTGTAAAAATATTTAAAGAAATATAAATTTATTAATATATATTTAATATATATATAATTATATATTTTAAATAATTTGTTATTATATAAAAAATACAAATGCAATACATTTAAAAATATTTAAAATTTTTAGAATAAAGAAGAATTTATGCGTGTGGAAAAATCAGCGATAAAAGTTGCGGAATGTGTCCAGGCAGAATATTGGTCAGTTTCTGCTCGTACAGGTTTTAATGTAGTTAATTTTTTTCAACGTGTGGCTTCATTGTCTTTTGAAGCATTTATAAAATATGCGGCACTTGAAAAACAATATATCGATGCAACTCATTTAAATCAAATTAAACAGAAGAAATTCAATAAATTTGGTAAAAGAATCTTTATATTATATTTTAATAATCATTCATTATACATTATCGTTACAGATTTTCGCAATAAGTTTATTTCTCAAGATAATAGTGGCCAATCTAAAGAAAGTTCGTGTATTTGTTAAATATTTTGTTATTAAAAAAACGTTTTTATTACCAGTACTTCTAATATGTTTAAAATTAATAAAACAATTATTACAAAAATATTTATTTTTTATATTCATTATAATAAAATTTTTTCGTTGAAAACTATTAAAATAAAAGCCTGTAGTCTTTCAAGTTTCTATATTAATGTAAAGAAAGTTAGGAAACATTATTTGAAAATCTTTCAATTAATTCATAATTAAATAAATTCACTTTACGCTTTAATTCGATATCAGAAAATTCCAAATGCCATAAACACAACCAACGCGTGACGATACAAAAAATCATTTTCGAATTTTTGAGGTTTGAAAGAAATATTTTTTCGATTTTCTTGCAAATTCGGAAGTAAGATTTCGAATTAGCACTTTCAACTTGTTAAACTCGGAATTGAACAATTAAATTTGATTGAAGGTTCAGTTAATCCAAAATAATTCAATCAAATACTATGGAAATATATGTTGTTAAAGGAAATTTCAAAATTTCACGCATTGTTAGCATTGTTTTTAGTTCATTATTTATTTTAATTTTAGCTTTATTATTTATTTTTATACAAAATATAATTTGCTTGCATTATATGCATAAAATAAAATAAAACATAATATTTGACAAATTGTAACAGTGATGTCAATATCTCGCTTAGCACCTACTCTAAAGAACTTGCTGTTTTTTGTCGCACTTAAAAGCTGCCGAAAGCACTTATTATTTATGCACAGATGATTTATTTTTATTGACAAAAAAATATATGAACATTTTTTTAATTACGAATATAGTTTTAATTATAGTAAATCAGGAATTATAAAAATATAACTTATAAATAAATATATTTACATATACTTTAATTAATTATTATTTTATTACATTGTGATTGTCATATTTACACTACAGCAAAGTTGAAATATCGAATTTAATAAAAATTAGTGCAAATAATACAAGTAGTTTTATTATAATTTTTACTTTTAATTAAAAACAACTTAATTTGGTAATTAAACAGTTAACATATGTAATTAAAATATGTAGTAAACAACTACAATAATACACATATAACAGTAATAGAACATTGGTCTTTTAAAATTGCTTTTACGCACGTTTTGTTAATGCATGCACTGAAATAAATAAATTTAATATGAACATTTTCCGAACACTTTCGAAGTCTTTTCGGTTGTGTGACAGCTTCACAATCAAATACGAAATTCGAAATTCGCGTTTCCGCATGTTTGACAAAGAAGAAAAAATTTTCCTTTCCATTCCTTTTTTTCGTAGAAATGGCACCAAAAAAGCCAGCCGATAAGTCCGGTAAGAAATTTAATTAATTAATAAAGTTAAAATGTGAAATTTTTCAACAAAAAGCAACTACAATATTAGCCGAATACAAATATATATGTGAAAAGTGAATATTATTAAGTTTTAATGTAATTAACGTTAAATATTTGTGCAGTGTGTAGCCACGCGGTCGCGTTGAGTCGAGCTGCTGTCAGTAGAATGTTCGAAATTAAAAGTGATGCAAAATTATTTGCCGATATTTGTATAATATTGTAAAAATAATTTTATATTTAATAATGCAAATAATATTAATATGAAAATTTAATAGACTTAATGCAAATGTGGAAACTCGAAATTGTAGTTTGTTTATTGTTGTATTAACGCGTAACATAACCTTACAAACAGCACTGTTGTGTATTAATAGTATTAATAATAATTTAATATCATTGCAGCTAAACCCGGTGATAAAAAACCAGAGAAGAAGCCAGCAGCTGCTGCTGGTGCGGCTAGTACTAGTGGTGCTGCCAAGCCCGCAGCTGCAAAACCTGCTGCTGCTGCTGCTCCTGCTAAGAAGCCTGCGCCTGCTGCAAAGAAACCTGCCGCTGCACCAGCTGCTGCTGCTGCTGCCAAGAAACCAGCAGCCGCTAAAAAACCTGTAGCAGCTAAGAAACCAACTGCTGCTAAGCCTAAACCAAAAACCAAGGATGCCAAAAAGAAGGCTGCTGCTGGTAAGAAGCCACAATCTTTGATTTCCAAATTGTCAGCTAAAGCTCGTGCTGCTGCTAAGGGCAAGAAAGTTGCTGCCAAACCAGGCGCCAAGATACAAAAGGGTACTGCAAAAGCCAAGGCTGTTGCTTTATTGAAGGCAAAGAAAACCCAAACTAAGGTTAGTACAATTAAGATTAACTTAAATTATAAACTATAAAGAAAATTTGTGTTTTAGATAATTAAAGGTGCTTTTGGTACACGTACACGTAAAATACGCACAAGTGTGCATTTCCGTAGACCCAAAACCCTTAAGTTGCCTCGCAACCCTAAGTACCCACGCAAATCTGTACCAACCAGAAATCGGTTAGTAAGCAGAAATTAAATCTAATTATTATTTTTCTATGTGTGTTTTGTTTTTTACAGCATGGATGCATACAATATTATCAAATATCCATTGACCACTGAAGCAGCCATGAAGAAGATTGAAGACAATAACACTTTGGTATTCTTGACACATTTGCGTGCCAACAAAAATCACGTACGTGCTGCAGTGCGTAAACTCTACGACATCAAGGTTGCCAAGGTCAATATGCTAATCAGACCCGACGGTCAAAAGAAGGCTTATGTACGTTTAGCGCGCGATTATGATGCGTTGGATATTGCCAACAAAATTGGTATCATATAAACGGTTACTCTTTTGCGTTACTGTTTCTTTTTATATAGAATTTTCTTAATAACTGACACAAGTTAAGAGTGAATTTTAATTAGAATAAAAACCATACAAAAAAACTAACTTAAGTGCTTTTAAGACTATAACTGACAAAAATAGGTTGACAAATACGTCGATTTTTCAAATTGGCGTAGATAATGGCTGGGCAGGGAATATTTCTTTCTTTTATTTTACAGGTCAATTTTTACAGAATGCAGTTCATCGATTCAGGCTTATAAGGTAAATATTTATTTTATTTTATTTATGTTTTTTTTTTTTGTATTTGTAGTTCGCTTAGTTTAATAATTATATTGTCGTTATTTAACGCTTCATTGAAAGATTAAATAACTAACATATAATTGATTTTTAAGATTTTTGTTTGTGATGTTATTTTAGAAGGAATCTCATTGAGTTTAAACTATGAAAATACTTTTATTTTACTGAATTAAAAAAAATTAAATTAATATTCTTTCATTATTCAAATAGTTTAGTTACAGTTTTGTCCATTATTTTTAATTGCAGGTCTATTATTGCCGTTGGGTTTAACCACAGGTTCAAAATAATATGGTAAGTTTAATTCAAATCAATATATTTTTTTTAAATTTTAATGATGAATTTAAAGAAGGAATCTCATTGAAAATATATGAAAATATTTACTTTAACTGATAAATCTAATTATGTATATATATTCATGTCTCTTGAAAAGAAATTACAATATTGTTTATTTATTTCTTTCAGGTTCTACACCAATTTGAGTCACTGTTTTGGGTTTCCTTATTTTCAAGTACTATAATAAATAGTTAATAATTATCATAAAATAAAGATACAATAAAAAAGCACAAAATTTATTTTTTTATTTCTAAATATTGCAGTGTCTAATAATAAATTCAGAATGAATCACTGAAAGAGAATTTTGAAATCATTGTAGAATATAGCCCTTTAGTTCAAATTTGGTATATTAAATAATAACATTAAGTTATAGTGAGTCATAACGATGCAAATAATTAAAATAGTATAGTTTTTTTAGCTCTGAAATTAATTGGAGAGATCATCTTGGTAAATTAGGACTAGATCGGCAAAACCTGCTGTTAAAATGCAGTTTCCATTAAGTCTCACGTGGAAAAAATCTTCAAATTAAAAAATGTATTATTGGAAATTGGAATATTTTTTTTTCAATAATTATTTATGGTATATAGGCGCTATATTCTGCAAAATAAACTTAGAGCTGTTCTTTCCCGTTCCTTAAAAATTGTGCCAAACCATAATTTAGATTTGACATAAACCAATCAGATCAGACACCAATCGGATGAGTCTGCTGTATTATCTTATTGAATATGATCAGTGTAAAATTCACAAAAACTGCGGTTTTATTGTACTATATCTAGTGTTATTGCGTATATCTAGTTCAAAAGAAACCACACACCTGCATATAATATTTAAGTAAAACTTTTGTAAAAACGACCTACACAATCTATAGGGGGTCTGTTATTCTGAGATCTACGTATGTGATATCAATATGCTCTTCAGTTCGATACGCTTCAGAGCGAAATGTCTTTATTAAGTCACACGGGGGCATTTGTTCAGAAAATATTAATTTTCCTTTTCTTTATGGACTTTTTGCCAGTCAGTGTTATTTACTTGTCAATAATCAATAAAAAATTTGCCACTTTGATTTTAGAACTTGCTCTGGATAGATTATAGTTTGCCCATGTTTTATAGATTAACTTGATTATTCAATCATATACAGCAATGAGTCATTATTCTAATTCTATACAATAAGAATAATCTATATCTAAAGAACCTAAAAACTCATCACACTACAACCAATTGAAATCTTCGTTGATATATGGGTTTTTTTTATTAAAGTTATTCTAGAGTAATCATTTTTTTCTAATATTGAATTAGATACTATCAGGAAATTTTCAATTATTTTGTTTTCATCGATAAAATTCAAGTTTTAAAAAATTAGTTATTTAGTATAATAATAATTATAAATATAAATAATAAAAATTATTTTAAATAATTTTTTGGTGTGGAACATGAGAAAATATACTTCTTAAAAATAGATTTAAAAAAAATCTCCGAAGAAGTCTGCGAACTTTAATAAAAAAAAGACGGAAAATTCGCATATCATACGATTTAACTAAGATTTCAATCAAAATGTCAAATTGTGTAAAAATTGGCTATACAATATTACTTGGGTTGTGATAAATACAATAACACTAGATATATAACAACTAAATATATAATATATACAATATTACTTGGGTTGTGATAAACGCAATAACATTAGATATATAATAACTAGATATATAATAAAACCGCAGTTTTTTTTGAATTTTGCAATGATCGTATTCAATTAGATAATACAGTAGACTCATTCGATTAGTATCTGTTCTAATTGATTTATGTGAAATCTAAGTAATTGTGACAAGCTAATGTATAGAATATAATAAACAAAAATAAAATTTTACTTTTCCCCTATTTAGTAAAATAGTGATGTGTAAATTGATTATATTTTAAATCCAATTTGATATTTCTAATAAATTATTTTTAATAGTTTTTTTGTTGCAAAGAAATTGATTATATGTATAACAACTTTTCTTATATAAAAATATTTTAGTTAAACTCATCAATTCTCATTTTGTCTTATATCTGTATACTTCTATGATATTATATGTTGTTTTTCATTATCTTTTTATGAGCTGCGTTTTTTTTTATCTAATTTCTATTGATATTAATATTTAATATATTTATATATAAACATTTAGATATACATATATATTTAAAGTTATATTCTCGTTGTTTAAAACAAAAAGAAAATAGTTTTCCATGCTTATTTTTAATATATTGTTAGAGAGTACGTACTTCCGATATATATGGAGTATAGTTATTTTATATCTTAACTAGTTGATTTTCGACAATAATGAGTACAAATGATAAATTTTTTATTATAGTAAACCAAGATAGTGCTTTAAATTATTTGACTTTAAATTGTTTTTTAATCGTTTTACAACACTTATTTTGCATTCGCCATATTGTGGTGTACTTTCCTATTAGTTGTCAATATAAATATTAGGTGTTTGCGGTGCTGTTGCAAATTTTAATAAAAACAGGCGTCTTTATAATTAATTATTGCTTTTTCATATTAATACCATTTTTAATGGTATTAATTAACTTTAAAGTGAGGTTCAAACTTAAATATATTCTTAAATGTATAAGTATTGATTTTTGCAAATACGATAAAACAATTTTCTTTCCTTGTGCGTGCAAAATTTTGTTGTGGTTACAAAAAACTTATTTTTGTTATCTATTGAAGGAAGACAAATAAAAATGTATAATGGCATTGGCTTGACCACCCCTCGTGGCTCTGGCACTAACGGACATGTACAACGAAATTGGGCTTTTGTACGATCTGATAAAAAAAATAGTAATTACCGTGCAGAGGATGATATCAAGAAATTAGATGCATCACTTAATCGGCCACCAAATAAGGAAATACTTGACCATGATCGTAAAAGGAAAATTGAAGTTAAATGTGTTGAATTTGAGGAAATTCTAGAAAAACAGGGGTACGTATTTATGAGTATATTGTATATTATATATTAGTAGTCTTTGATTTTGTGTTAAATCAGTTCATACAACTAATATTTAAAACTTAAAATTTAAACATTTTTTTTTGTACCTGTCTTTATTATTTTATTTTACAAAAAATTTAACAGTCAAATTTGACAATAAATTTTACTCATTTAGTGCATTCATAATTTTTTCCGAGTTTTCCATATCTTACTCAAATAATATATAAAGTTTTCTGCAATTTACATACGTAATACACTTTCGTTTTACGTTAAAAAATGTCAAAAAAGGAAAAACATTTGTAAGGACTATTTTACGCTCTTAGTGTATTTTTTTTTTTTTTGTTTTACAAATTTTGTACCACGTGCCAATAACAAACGATTCTCTCAAAGGCTAGCAATACTTACCGTACGAGTATATTTACATGGCTAAGGTTTGCTGCTGCTGTTGTATTTGTGGTTGTTGTTGTTGTTGGGACTTTGTTACACTTGCTCTGCGGCATTAGCGCTTGTAGACTTTTTATTTACCACGCGTATTTACCATGGTTTGGGGTGGAAAGTGCACTTTAGTTTTGGGAATTATATCATAATTGCCCTGTTCGTTGGCCCAAACGTAACCTGGATTTCCTTTCAAATGTTTTATTATAAACAAAATTTTGTTGTAAAGTGGAAGTAAAAAGACATAATTGAATATGAATTACAAAATATAAACGAATTTGCGGTGTTGTAAATTAAAAACGTATATTTTTAAATGAGTTTAAAAAACGCCGTGAAAAATTTTTCTCCCTAACTTGCATTATTGATTTTATTATTGCCACTTTAAAAAACTTTTGCATAAGTGAGAAACAGTAATTTTTTTCAAATAATTTTAATAAACTATAATATAACAACTATTATTAATAAATTTTTTCTATTTAAATCAATAGACGCAGTCCTGAAGAAATTAAAACTAAAGTTGATTCCTATCGGCAAAAGTTAATGGGACAAGGAAAAACGGATTTACCAAAAGATGAATTTGGTAGAATAGCGTAAGTACAGGAAATTACATAAAAACATTTTTTATTTATTTATTTATTTATTTAAATTAAGTGCCGAAAGTGACAATGAAATTAAAAACCAATGTAATAATATTAAATAAGTAATATTAATTTTGTATAATGTACACTTACAAAAATAATCGATATTTTGTACATTTTGAATATTTGTTAATTACTCACCTTTTTACTCTCTTTCACGTGTGTACGTATTAGCCTTAACCCACTAATGACGACCATAGACATGTCATGTGTTGTATTTTAAATGTTGTAGTTTTAATTAAAGTATTTTTTTCTTGAATAATTCTTTTGTTTTTGAATAGTGCTTATTGATATTTAGATCGGAAAGTAATGATTAAAATATACTTTCATATTGAATATTCTTACTCATTCTCTTTATTAAGGCCATTTTTACTCTCTAAATATCTTGTGTTACATTTCCAACAAAATAGAATATGGGTTTGTTGACGTTCTATAAATATTTTCTTTGCCTACGGTCTATTACTGGGTTAGAAGTTTCCACTAACGACAGACATTCTCAACTAAAGACAATCTGACCTCCATTCAAGAGGCTGAATGTCCTCTGTTCGGTTAAGGTTAGTTTTTTAACATAAAAAAGTAATATAGGCGCAATATTCTACTCCATTAGGGAACAGAAAGCGAATACTGAGTTAAGAATATTCTATCATTGGCTGGTATACGTATGTGCTTAGCAATATCTTTTGTTTTAAAACCTTACTGTCTTCGGTTAGGTAGGAATAGTTTTAAGCACAAAAATACAAAGTTAAATCGCAATGCTCTGTACTATTCGAAGCCTAGAACTCTGTTGTCTTATATAAAATTATATATAAAGTCAGAATCGATATATTTTATTATTAAGTGTTCTAAGACCTTATTTTGGATTGTAACAAGTATAGTATATATCTCGATGGTTCGAGATATATACTATAGCTCATATGTTTACAAATTTTTGAGAAAATTAGTGTAGAAAACGGTGTCATTTCGATAGGAGTTGTGAGTAGTATTTAATCGTCAATGATTGCCAATTACGAAATGCTTTAACTGATGAGCATTCCGCTAATTTTACTTTACATTTCCTCATATATAATATATTAAATAAAATATAAATTACTTGAAATATATTTTCTATTGAATTTCTACATAAAGTGAGTATAAAAATAAGAAATTCTGTTTGAAATTAGATATTTGTAGTGAGGCCATCCATCTATTCTCACTTTTTCACTTCAAAAAAAGTAAAAAACTCATTTTTTTTTCAATTCTGTTAATTTTAAAACCCACTTATTATCCTTTTACTATTTTTTTTTTTGATTTAATTATAATATTTCTTGCTATTTTATTTCTTTTATTTATCTTACTTTATTTTATTGTTGTTAAACTAAACGTAATACATATAAAATAAATTTGTATTATCGGTATAGCCATATTTTCTTCCGAAGATATATTTTTCTTATTCTGTATTGGACTTTAGCGGGTTAAATTAAACAAATGGATACATCACATAATATTTCAACCCTCTTCCCTTTGTAACTACTTTCAACACGCAGCATCCAATTTCTGATGCATCCCACCACCTTCACAGCAGAGAAACTTTACAAAGATTTTTAGTTCAACTAAGTCTTCCAACGCAAAAGGATGCTTTTCGAGCATTCTTGCGCAAAATTATTTTATTTTTTTATATAATTTTAATAAAACTAATGCAATGATTATTAAAAAATATACATATAGAAAAAGTTTGTAGAAATTGTATTTCACTAAAAATAATATTTTAAATATTACAAATCGAGTTTTGTCTATTTTGCGTGTTTGTTCAAAAAATCAATAATGCATGATTCTCTACTTGTCTTGTTAAGTACGTACGCTTGCGGCTGGGTGTTTTTTGATATCAAAGACATATAGAACAAAAATAAAAAATTAAATAAAGTTTAATCTGCTTAAACCAATTAAAGTTTAAAGAAGCCCAATAAAATGAGGAAGCGAAGAAAAATATTATTTCACTAGGAAAACAAACCACCACCGCCGCCCACAGATTGGATTGTTTGGGGTGACGCCAAAGACACCACCAATGTGCGTGAAAGCTTAAACAAGGCAGATTAATAGTCTTAATGTCGATCAAGTGGAAAAGTGAAGTATCAAAGAAATCGATGTGGTCGCGATGAACTGAACAAGTTTTAATTATAACAAACGCAACAAATCACTAACGAAGTCTTCCAATTAAAAATTAAACAATTTAGTATAAAATGAATTGCTAAAAAGCAAGTAACTACTTTTATATATTGTGGAAAATCATAAAAGTAAAAAAATATATACATTAAATTACTTAAACATGTAAATTAAGTTATTTAATATTTAAATTATAATCCAACGTCTTCCAAATAAAATTTTAAAATAATAAATGAATAAATTATATATTTAAATAACTGTTATAAGTAATCAACTGTCTTCCAACAAAAAAAAAAATAAATAAATAAAATACAAATACAAATATATACTGTTATAAAACAAAACTACAACTAAAGCTATATATATAAAATTTATAAGATATATAATATAATCTACGTCATTCATTAAGACAAAAGTTATTATATCTATTACATTATAAAAAAATAATTGTGAAAAATATATAATACAATGTAAATAAATATAAATATTTATTTAATACCAGCATATAATATAGTAAATATATAAACATTCATTTCAAGAAAAAAAGAACTTATAAAAATTAAAACAAATCAAACATGATGTTATATGCTTAGGACATAATAATGGTATATAAAATATATATTTTTAAAAAAAATAAAAGCAATTTTGTTGTATTTGTGAAAGTTTATTAAATCCAACGTCTACCAATAAAAAATTTACCAGTAAAAACTATAAAAATATAATTTAGTATATATATAAAAATAAGTAAATACGAAAATACAAAAATCTATATAAAGAAAAATAAAATAAAATAAAACATCCTATATAAAATAAAACATTTATTAAAAAATATTTTAATAAATAAATATATTTTTAAGGATTTTTTAAAATTTATTTAATCCAACGTCTACCATAGCATAATTATTTACTAAAAATTAATTCTACTAAATCCAACGTCTTCAATAAATATAAATATATAAATAATAATAAATAGTAATAATAATAGTAATAGTAAATAATAATAATATACAATTATTATAATTATTATAATATATAATAATAAAAATAATATATAATAATAATAGTAATTAATAATAATAATTTATTATAATAAAAAATAATAAAATTAAAAAATAAAATAAAAATAATAATAAATAATTAAAATAATAAAAAATAATAGTAGTAAATAATAATAATATTAAATAATAATAATAAATATTAAGAAATAAAATTGTTTATATAGATATATACATATTTATATAAAAAATCATTTAAAAATATACTTCTGTAATAAAATAAAAAAAAATAGAGTTGTTAAAAAAAATCCTGAAATTCTGTAAAATGATTTCCTCTAAAATTTATACAAACACTGCAACGGAAATCAAAGCTTATACTCCCCCCAAAAAACGCCGCAAACGTCGCAAGCGTACTTTGGCCGCAAAAACAACAACACAAACAACATTAACGCAATTATCGGCGGAAGAATTTCCGGCAGGAGTGCAAAGTAAAAGTGTTACAAAGACGAAACAATATTTTCAACACGATAATCGTCAGAACTCAACAAAATTCTCCTATAAATTAACGACGGAGAGTGAGTTGAATTATGCGGCAGTTGCCAAAAAATTTAAACCACTGGGAACATCCACAACACCCCGAACTCTACAAAAAAATAAGAAGAGAAATCTTATTGTGAAGAACCGGAAGCAAAAAAAGAGCTCACAAAATAATAGAAAACATCTGAGACGACAAATGCATATGGGATGTGTTTGCGCATGCTCGACTCAGTCTGCAGGTGCTCTAAATTCGTCTTCCATTCCGGATTGTCACACAATTGCGAACAATAACAATAATAATTACAATTTTTGTAAGCAACAACGAATTACGTCCTCTCCTTACGAAACAGCTGTTCTTAGCATCCCGGCATTAAAGAATTTGTTCTTAGCGCATAGAAACAAAAACCCAAATAATTATACCACCCAACTACCTATAGCAGAAGCTAAAGAATTACCAATTCTTTTGGAATTATTGCAACAGTCTTCATCATCATTACTGGATCAATTATTGGGTAGTCATATTTTGAACAATACAAAACTTAACAAGACAAGTGTGAGTCCAAAGGAGCTTAAAAGTGTCGTGAGGTAAACTATATAAAAGACTATATAAAAAATTTGTTAAGGTCCAAGTTTACAATAATATTTTTTTGCAATTCAGTGACATTTTAGTGTCCAATATTCAGTACTCAAGTGTGTATTGTAAAACTTGCCCAAAAATATCTTTTCTGGCTATAAGTGGTTTGCTTAATCAAAATTGTTGACCATTTCAAAGCTCTTGAGCATTAAAAGTTTGTACAGCCTTTGCTACTTGTGAAAAAATACGATTAATCATCGTTCCTAATTTGATAGGGACGAAAGCTAGGCTTGGTACTTGCAGTCCAAATAAATTATATACTAACTAAAAACTAATTAAGAAATTCGATTATTTCCTAAGACCACTGCTGATGAGCACTTGGCAATACTCGAAACAGTATTGTATGCTCAGCCATATTTCAATAAATTAACTAAAATTTTTGTTGTTGTCTTTTCATTTCTATTCGAACCTTTCTAACTTTTAAATAGAGTCTTTTCATCATAAGACGCGTCACTATCAGGAAAAAAAATTACATTAATGAGATTTTTATTAAATCAATAATTTCTTTTGTTTGATAGTTCTTGTGCTTTAACAATAAATTCTAATCTATCCAAAATATTTAAAATAGGCATAACATATATAACTAGTTACTTTAATTAATTAAAGTAACATTTGGTTTCTTTATTCAAAATATATCAGTATTTACATTAACAAATAATTTTATGCTATAAGGACTAAGTCGCATCTCGCTTGAGTGATCATATTGTCACTCATATCTACTGATTTAACCTATTCAAAATAAGACACAAATGTGCTTTTCGTTAAAGCAGATTTACTTTAACGAAAATTGTTTTGTGTATATATTATATTCTTATATAGATACATATAAGTAAAAAATGTATAGAATTAACTTGGTTAATATATTTTTACTCTTCTCTCTTTAGTGTTCGTGAAACACATCAAATTGCTGAAGCTCAATTAGAAAAGAACGCCAGATTACGTGAAGCTTTCAATATATCGTCAGATTTTGTTGAGGGCTCAAGTTTCGATTCAGATCGGAAAGCAAAAGATTTAGCTAAAGCACAAGCCTTACAAAAAGAACTGGACGCTCAAAGAGAAAGCCTGGCAGCTGTCGCAGCTGCAAGTAAGGAAAAGGAAAGCAGCAGCAAAAGGTATGCATTGGTGCGTACTCCATCGAAAGAACGGGACGTAACTGAGAGCAATGGCGGTGCGGGAAATAAATATTTAAGCGAAGACGAACGTGAGCATGTGTCCAAGTCCGACAAGAAGAAGAAAAAGAAACGCAGTAGAGACAGGTATTTAAAATTTGAATATAAAATTGTTCAAATATTCTTAACTGATATTAATATTAATATATAATTACAGTTCGGCTAGTCCTGAGCGAAGAAAGGATAAAAAGAAAAAATCAAAGAAACACAAAAGGGAGAGGTAAGATTGCTTAAATACTTATTTTTTTTTTAAATTTTATTTATAGTATAATATTTGAAGTATTATTTATTTTTAGCTTTTTTTATTTGTTCAATTATTTATTTAGTATTTTATTTTATTTTGTATTATAATGTAGCATTTGTATTTATATAACTATTTAAAATTATATAATAATTATATATATATATATTAACAAATTAATATTCAAACTTGACAAAAAGTGTTAAACAAATTCTTCTTCTTCTTCAATTGCTTAACATTTTTATCTCTCCTTTCTCTGCATTTTGTTCTCTAACAATAACAAATCATTTATCAAGGAACTCAAATGATAAAGAAAGAAAAAAGAAAAGAAAAGATATGTACAAATAATTAATAAAGCAGAATAACTTTAATATTTTGTAACATGATTTATATAAGAAAAAAAAAATTTATAAAAATATAATATAAACTAAATTAAAAAAGAAAACTTAAAAACAAATTAAAACATACATTTCATATAACGAAAACAACAAAGCTATTAGTATTTTTAATTAAATTATTTATTAAAAAAAAAAATTATAAACTTTAATAAAAACTGTCAGCAAGCACGTACATCACACCAATATACCAATAAACCAATATCACTATGTTGAACAGTAAATATATTAGACGTCACCGTCACCTATTCGATATACAGAAAAACAACATTAAAACAAAAACAAAAACAAAACCAAAAACAATAAATATCGAAACATTTGCTAACATGTACAAATCATTTATAAAATTTTGCATAAATCTAAGCAACTATTTTTATATACGTAATATATCAACACGATATTGTTCGAAGAGAGATCAAGTCGATTATTATTTTATCAATTATAATTCAATTATTGCTAATATCGATTTTAAAAAATCTTCGGCAAAAATTTAATGGTAAGTAACAATTAGAGTTTTCATAAAACATACGTTTATTATTATTTTTATATTATTCTTTTATGATTTTTTTGTTTTTAATACTTAACACATTCCATATACATATGTAGCTCAGTAGGTTTTATTTATACAGAATATTTCTCTTAATTTTTTATGTACATATATGTAATTATAATTATATATATAAATATATTATTTTTTAATAAATGTTTGTTTTTTTTTAATTATTTATTTAAAAGTGTGTAAATTAGTAAATGTATTTTCAAGGACATTGTAAACAATTTGTAATTAGTAGTAAAATTTTTAATGTTTTTTTAGATATACATGAATATAATAATTGTCCTTCAAATATAGTAAATGCAGTCCCAAAAGCCTCTCCAACCGCCTATAGTAAATAATAAATGAGTTTCTCCCCTGGTTAGATATTTAATAAATTATTTGTTTTTGATTAATTATAAATTAGAATAATTTTAGGGGTTATAAGAAAAAACTTAAAATAAAATTAAAATAAATTACATTAGATTTTATGATCCATTTTTAGCAATAGGTATATTGTTTGAACCTTGCGTGTAACACAGCATATTTAAATGTCCTCTAACGAACATAATAATTCATATAATAATATATGACATATAATTCGTCCATTACTTAACGGACGGAGTTCATTATGAAGCTTTAAAGCATTGGGAGTTTGTGGTTTGTTAGCATAAACACGATAGAGATCGAATTTAATGATTTCGGTGATCAATTCACATCACCAAAACGTGAAATTACACGTCTAAAAAAAAGATTCTCGCACAACAAAGCAATACGGTATGGGATGTTGCACAGTTCTGTTGAAACCTAATGTCTTCTACGGCTGTAGCAACCATAATTGACGGATTATTGACAGAACCTCCAGATCAAAAGCCACACTATACAACAACTTTTTATGGATACAATGTTCTATCTTTTGACAGAGCATCTATCTTTTACTTGTGTATTTTCACTGTTCTAGATGCGACAATTTTGTTTGTTAACATGTCAACCAAACGAAAAATAGGCCTCGTCATTGAAGAAGTTTAGATATGAAATATACCTACTACAAAATTAACATTTTTGTTGTAGGCTTTCGCAATTTTAACACGTTTAACAGTTGTTAAACGGTTGAATATTGTAAAATGGCAAACCTTAAACTAAATATATGATGTCTTAATTTTAATTTTCTAAGGCTTAAATAAATGTTATATGCAATATGTTTTAAAGATTTGATTAAATCATATCAAATTCTTATTGTTCGAGTATTGAAATAGAACATAAACGACCAATAAAGATATATAAATATATATGTTATATACATATATAAATAATTTAGTGTCATCATATATAGCGTATATGTGCTTTATTATTGTTGTGATAATCCGCTGGGACCTTTTTTTTTTGTTTTTTTGGTAACAAACCTGAAAGAAAAATCTTCTAAAGATACAAATAGCCCATACCATTTGCATGCCCGATTCATGTTCGACTCAATTGAGTCATACATGCTTACGGACTAAAAACTCGCCACGTTCTCAGCTCAAAATTCTGGAAATCCCTGCACTACGACCAGTTAAGGTATTCCTTTACCGGAAACCCGCTGGGACCCGCTTGTATCCCTTAAAGGGGCGTTAAATGACAATTGTTCGTCGAGATCGCAAATGGCTCCGGGACGTAGACCCGGTTGTTCTTGACGCCATATATGCTTTAAGCTATCATGCTGTTAAATACTTCTTCAAATATACTGTGGCGTCAACAGTTTACCAGTCATTATAAGTAGAGCAATTAGTTAAATTATTATTTAAAATTATCTTTACCTGATCTAAACGCTATAAGCTATTTTCCCATATAGTAAACTTATTAAAAATTTTTTCTTGAAACAATTTAAAAGAATTTGTTGAAGTTTCTCGATTAAACAAATGTCCTTGTTTATATATATATTTTTGTTTTTTTTTTTATTTTGAAAGTAATAATTTATTTATATTTTATTATTTATAAATAATAAATTATCATTTTGTATTCGTTCATTGCATCATTAAACAACTAACACATGCACACAAATGTAAAAAAAACTAAATTAATTATTTTTTGTATACACAAAAATTAAAATTTGAATTTACTACATTAAAAATAACTTCTCAAATAATTTAAAAAATAAAAACAAATCGAAATCGTTGTTCCAACAAATTAAAAGAAATTATTTTCTCATCTTTCTTTTCCTTAAGACAGACCAATAATGAAGAGTTTTAAATAAGGTAAACAACTGTCAAACAGAGTAATTTTTTTCACTAATAATAAAAATTAACAAAATAAAAAATCAAAGAGAATTTGCAAAAAAAAAGTGATTAATTTTGTGAAAATATTTAAAATATATGTTATATATAATTGTATATTTTTAAAAAAAAAGGTTGATGTATAATAGAAAAAAATAAAATAAAAATTACTTTAGTTATTATTTTAAAATGCAAATTTATTTTGATTTTATTCACATTATTATACAATTTAAGTGTAATTAAGACATAACTTTTTTAATTAAATAATTCCATCGAAATTCAAAATGAAATCCATATTTATATTTGTTGATAAGCCTTTTATATATAAGATAATTGTAAAAAATAAAAATAAAAATATGTTCTTTTTTTGAAAATTCATATAATACTTGTCAATAAATATAAATTTAAAAAATCACTTTTTATTTATGTTTGTGGCAAACATTATCTGAACGTAAAGAAAACTGTTAATTTTTATATATATTTATTTTACATAATTGTTTTATATATAAAAGTTTTGTCAACAATATATAAAATATACATATATATATATATAAATATAGATACAGGCCCGTAGCCAAAAAAAATTGTATTTGGTGGCTTTCCGATAATTTCAGAAATTTAATAATGAATATATTTATGAATGAAGCTCTAGTCTCTCAAGCCTGGCAACGTGCCTATATATGTATATTTATAATATATATATATATACATAGAGTATATATTTTTGTTGTATATTATATATTTTAAGATTTTTTTTAAACTGTGTATCAAATAACTGGTTTATTCACAAATTTTTGTTATTTTTCGATAAGTTTATTTTTAATTAAATTATCGTTATAGGTGAGGACGCATTAACTTTTTAATATATAATATAATTAATACATAAAAAATATAATAAACCTAATATTATTTAATTAGCAAATACAGTTAGTTCTTCTATCTATATCTATTTCTTATAGACATGATTATATATCTTTAGTTCTCGGGAATATTTTTATTTTTTGTACTAAAATAATTTTAGTAGAATTAAATTTATTTTTTAATTGTTTTAAAAAAAAATTGATCATCTCAAAAGAAATCAATCCCGTAGAAATTTTTAAAGTGAAATTAAAATTTATCTGATCTGAAAATTAAAAATATCAGATTATTCCATATAAATATAATATATGAAAAATATCTAGTAAATATTTATTTAGTTCATTTATATTTTTCTATATAAAATTTTGTTTATTTTGATTGAGCTTAAGTTTGATTTGTTAGCAATTTATTTCTTTGCAAAAGCAAAAAAAAAAAAATTTAATCTGCCTGCTTGTCAAATATAAAAAGCGAGGTTATGTCTATTCTAAAATACCAAAAAAAACAGTACATCAGAGTTTACTAATCTTATCATATTGAAAAATCTAAATACGAAAAGCATCAATCTCCTTTTTATGAGCTGAGCATATGTTTTACAAATTTTTTATTAGTGAGATTAGTTATCATCAAACATGTATGTAGTCTTTCTGTATAATATTAGCAAAGTTTGTAATATATATCTATCTTGATTTCACAGAGTAATACAAATAAAATATTTAAATTAGTATAAAAACAATCAATAGAAATATCAAAACTCTTAAAAAAAAATTATAAGATTATATAGAGATCTCCCTGATAATAATGCTGTTACGGGAAACTGAAAACCTTTTGATCTGACATATATAATAAATTGTTTTGGTTGAGATATATGTAGTCTTATATTTCAATATATTTAATTATTATAATTATTTTCTGAAATTTCTACAATTTATAGAATTTATGAATTTATAGATGTCCTATTTTCCTCTGTTTCGGGAATCGCTATTTCATTTTAAGGTCTGTGAACAAATACTAGTCACTGAGAGGACATAATACATTTTATTCTATCTTATTCTGAAGTTCAGACCTCCAAATACTAGTCACTGATTAAGCTGAATAGACTGGAGCTCTATCACCATCATGGGCCCATAACCATGCAAACACACGCCTTTAATATATTTTCGACATATCGTTCACTGCTGTAACTTACATTCAATATCTCAAGCAAGCACAACGAACTCTCACATCCATGTTCTGAGAGTGTCAACTCCAATAAAGGTTCGATCGTTTGAAGATTCAAGCCTTAGAGCAATTAAAATGAATACTTTTTCTAGCCATCTTTATGCCAGAACAAAAAGTTTTCAGTTTATCTCTGACTAAGCACTATTGTTAAATATATTATCGGGAATATCAAGCAAATAATCAGCATTTCTCTCCTATTTAAACCTTCATGTAATCTTAGCACATAAAATACGTGGATTAGTGGATCTCAGACTAGGATAAGCTTACTATTAAGCTTCAAATATATATATATAAAAGCTATAATAATGTTATTGCTATAACAATGTTCTTATAAAAATATTAATACAACAATGTTCAAGTAAAATCTGACTTAAATATTTTTTTTTTAAATAATTTTATCAATTTAATAACTTTAATAAGTTAAATTCGACAATATTCCTCTCAAAAATATTTAAAATTATTTCTAATTTCATATTTTTCAATACAGTGTTAAAAAAATGTTTACAAGTGTATATAAAAATAAATTCTATTATTATTATTATTTTTATCCAGAAAATTAAAACAATTATTTTAAAATTATAATTACAGCAAATCTAAGAAGAAGAAAAGTCGCAAGCGCAAACCTAGTGAGACGGATTCGGATTATAGTGATAAGGAATCCGATGGCGAAAACGATGTCAGCACTGATTCCGAACGTGAAATAAAAAAGTCCCGTAAAAAGAACAAAAAGGATAAGGTTAGTTTAAGAAATGCAAGTGAAGAAAATATATACTGTATAAAAACTTATATATTATATATTAATGCAAATCGTTGACTGAAAAAATCATTTTAAAATTCTATATTAACATTTTTATATTTAAAACGCATGCACAAGTTCCATAACAAAGTGATCAACTTGATAAATAATATTTATTACAAATCAATCCATTCCGATGTCACTCAATTATTTTTGTTTGTTTTTTACATTAAAAATGTACTTACTTCTGACACATAAAATAATACGTTACATGGTAAAAAAAAGTATATATCTAACTAGACGTAGACGTTGAGTTTTAAAATATATTTAAAATGCATATGCAACATTTAATATAATAATACATAATTTATCTATATTTATTTATATTACAAACATATATATTTAAGTCGAATACTATATACAGGATAGTATATAAAACTTCATTCTTTAAACTTTGTGAGTATAAAAAAAGTATTAGAGAATATATTGAAAAGTATTAGATTCAACAAAGTAGATTAATTTATCTAATTCACAGTTGAGATTATGCTATTCATGAGAGTAGATAAAGTATTCTATATATATAGATAGAGTAGATAAAGTTAAGATTATGAACTATGATAATAGATAGTGTTCTGCCAGTCTGCAGTATTTTCATTAATAAATCACACATATGTTATACATGTGTGATATATATATTTATATATATATGTTACAAATATAATAAGTTCCAAGAACGGTTGGGTCCCGGAACCACTCATAGAATTCGACGACTAAGTGCGGTTACCACACCCAAAAGGGACTACACGAACAGATCCTCGCGGACTATAATAACAACAACAACGCATATGACATAGATATTTATAGTAAAATAATTCTATAATTGTTGCACATGGATTTTAAATGAAAAGTTTTGCAAAATAGAACATTTTAACGAACCATCTTTTACTTCCAATATATGAAATTATGTTAGATAAAATTTTTGTTTTGTATTCTATTTATATTTATATTTATTCGTCGGTAAAATGTTATCGAAATTTATTTTTATTTATATTAATTTAATAACAATAAAAAAGAAAATATTATAATTTTCGTTTATGAAACCCTTGGCGCTTCATTATATAGGATAGCTTTCAAAAGGCTCTCTTGTAGTTTTGTAAGTACTTTCATTTGGTCTGTCTTTTTTTTACTAATATTTACAAAAAAAAAATAAAATAATACTTAAAAAAAAAATTAAGTAATTAAATAGAAATTTCAATTAAAGTTTTTGTATTTGTGTGAATGTTTGATGTTTAAGATTCAACTATTAGTTCAACTATTGAACTACAATGAGACAAAATTTTGTGTAAAGTGAAATAATATCACATATATCATAAAAATCATTAAATGTTCAATGAAAGTTGGCTTTAAAATAAGATAAATTTCATGAATTTGCATAACATTTATTTTACTTTATATATATATAATTTCAAATACAAAAATAACACATATCACTAAAACATTTTTTATTCTTAAACAGAAGAAGCGTGACAAGAAAAAACGTAAGGAACGCTCAACATCAATTATTAAAGCTCGTCACAGGTAAGCTATTTTCATTTAATATAATTACCTACAATTACAAAAAAAATATATATATTATAGTTCTCCTGTCACCCGTATAAAGGACAGCAAAAGACAAGAACATTCTTCTGATCGCAATAACAGAAATGATTCGATAAGAGAAGAGCATTTGAAGAAACATATGCGTAGTCGCAGTGAAAGTCGTTCACGCGAAAGAGACTACAGTAAGAATAGAAGTTATAACAACAAAACTGATGGATCAAGAGATAGTAGGGAAAGAGATCGCAGAGCACATAACTCTAGCTACCGACAAAACTCGCGTAGATCAAGATCCCGTGATCGTTGTTATTCTCCTAATGAACGTAAACGCAAACATTCTGAAGAGCGACATTCTCGTCGTCATGCTAGTCGAACACCTGAGAAGAAAAGTCGTCACAGTCGAAGTCCTATAAAAAAGATTGAAAACAGTAATTCTCGTTCCAACAGACATGATAGAACGCGTTCTAGAAGTCCACGCTCTAAACCTGCAGAAACCAGACGTCAACGATCAAATACACCACCTCCTCCAAAAGAAGTAGCTCTATCTACTTTAGCTGGCAAAAAACCATTTAATCCATTTAAAGTTATTGATAATTCAAGTACAATTGCTTTAACAACGCAAACGAAATTAAGCGCTAATCCTTTTAAGTCGAATTCAGCTTCAGATGTACTAACAAAACCAGCCGGAAATGATTCGAAACAGATAGCACAGCGTTCAACATCCTCTATAAGTTCTAAGCGTAGTGATTCGCGTACCTCAAAAACTCCACCAGTACTATCACAAAAAGTTAATCAATCAGAATCGCGTACCTCAGAACGTAGTTCATCGCATGTCAACGAGGATGCTAAAAGCGTACAAAATAAGGATACACAGAGGGAAGTGTCAAAGCAAAAACAACGTTCGCGTTCATCATCGAATAATAGATATGCCGAAAAAACCCATAATCGTTCCTCATTAAAACTAACAACACGGTCACGTAAAACACGTTCCAGATCTTTATCTAAGCGTGACCGAAAAATTTCCCGTACTCCAGAACGTAACAGCTCAAAGCGCCGTTCATCACGGTCTTTGTCAAAGACTCGTAAACGCTTAACTGAGCGTAGAAATTCAAAACGCCGCTCATCAAGTAAAAATAAATCTAATAGGAGGTCACGGTCTTTATCAAAAAATCGCAAACGCTCACCTGAGCGTCGTCGTTCTTTATCGCATAGATCATCTCGTCAACGAAGGCGTTCAAGATCGCATACTGAAAATCGGCATAACTCAAGAAAACGTTCTTTAACACCCAAATATAAATCAAGAAGATCCCGCACACCTGATAAACACAGGTCAAGAAGATCTCGCACACCTGCTAAGAGTTATGAAAATGTATCAGAAAAAAAATTAAAACAAAAATCTACCAAGGAACGACATTCTCGCTCACGTTCATATTCTCGAAGTTCTTCAGAACTTAGTTATTCTCCTGCAAAACGAAATCCTGAAAGATATAAGGATATTACCGATAATAAAAAAACTGATAAACCTGCTAATAAGCATAAAGAAAAAGAAAGCCGTGCAAGTGAACATGTAAAAATAACGAAAGATAATGGCAACGATCGGAATCGTTCAAAACCAAAAGAAGACCACTCATCGTCGGAACAACAAAAATCAACTGAGAAAGAGCGTAATAGTAAAAAAGATGAACGTCGAGAAAGACATTCTTCTGATACGCATGACACAAACAAACGTAATAAGCCAACTCCTGTTGTACGTCTCCAAGCGGAAAGTGAAGATGATACCGATAACGATGAACGCGTTGAAAAAGTCACTGCACTCGATGAATTTCAAGAATCCAAGCATGAACGAGAATTAAAGGATTTAAAGATGTTGGAACAACTTAAAACTGATATAGCAGCAAAAGCGAAGGAAAAAATAAAGACCATTGAAAAAATGGCAGCAAATCCATCTACGGCAATAAGTAATGATGTAAGTGATAACGAATATAACAGACGAGGCATGCGAAATTCTTTGAATGAGTTTTTAGCTGCTAACCACGTCAGTATTAACAACAATAACAATGAGAAGAATTCTCTACTAACAACTCAGCCTACAGTTGCAATTTATCCGCAGCCATTAAACGAAGATATAGAAAAGAGTAGTGTTAATCAAATTCAAAATGAAAAAAATTCACAAAATGAAAATACAGATGAGAAAAAAGTAGAACTAGAAAAAGATAAAGAGAAAGAAAATGAAAAAGAAAAAGAAAGAGAAAGAGAAAAAGTGGACATTGCGCATACTGATTGCAAGGCACCTGATGTAGCAGCAAACGGTCATGCTGATAAAAGTCCTATAATAACATTGCCAATAACGACTCTTAATAACATTCAGAAAGAGCGTAGATTCTCGCCGTTAATTAATCGAAAATCTCATCATAGAGTTAAAATAAATACGATTGCAGTGGGTTCATCTACTACTAATTCATCGTATAATAATCTTAATAACTTAACTAATCCTTTAATAAGTGGAACACCATTTGCAACTACATTTAATCGTAGCCGTATTAATAATACGCCTTTAATACCTTCTACTCACTTTAATAATTTAATAAATAAGAGTCATAGTGGTGGTGGTGGTAGTCGTCGTGAACATCATCGTAATAATATTAATCTTAATGCTTTGTCAAATATTCCTCTTACTAACTTTCCTAGTCATAATTTACTAATACCTAATAGTCAACATCAACATCAACATCATCATCACCATCATCATCATAGCGTTACTACATCTAATATAGCTGATCAACTATTGATGGCTGCATCATATGCTGCTGTGTCTGGCCGGCATCAAGGCCTGAACACGCATAATTATGCTGTAGCGGCAGCTAATAATTTAAGTTATCATCATCAAAAACCAAAAATAGTTATAAAGCCTTTTAAAATTAATGATTCACAGCCTCTTGTCGCAGCGCTTACTGATAGTACACTAGTCGATACAATAGTATCGAAGGTATCAACTGCTACTGTTGCTGCAGCTGAAAGTGCAGCAAGGCGTAGTCGGAGTAGGTCCCGTCATAGTCGTAGCCGTAATCGCCGCGATGGTGGAACTAGTCGCCGTACGGCAAGTCGCTCACGATCATCGTAAGTTTTAACGAAAATTTCATTTATTTACATATTTTACCATATTTCATTTCGTTTACTTATTTTATTTTATTTTATATAATTCTATAGGCACTATTCATCGTCTAGCAGCCGAAGCCGTAGTCGCTCTCATAGTCACCATCGTAGTTCAAGGTCACGGTCTAGGTCACAGAGTTCTGAATCAAGCTCCTCATCCAGAAGTTCCAGAAGTTCATCTGCGTAAGTCGTGAATTAATATAAAAAAAAGAATCTAAATAAACTTCGTATTGTATTTATATGAATGTTTAATTATATTAAACAAGAAATAAGATATGGTATTCAACTTCAATAAAATAGAGAGAAATATAAAGATTTTACTACAATTAACTATAATTGATTTATAAAAACAGAATAATACAGATTTATGAATTAACATATTAATTACTTAATCTATATTAATTATTATTTTTATAAGTATTTATTATCAAGTATGTTATTTATGTAATTATTATAATTAAGTATTTATGTTATTATAATAAATAAGTATTTATTTAATTATAATTATTATATGTATTAGCTGGTGGATAACGTCCAATTTTCAAAGTGCTTCGATTCAAAAATGGATTTAATTAACATCATTTATCTATATCATATATATGTCGATATAGCTTAATTCTCTGTATATACAATTTTGAAGTTGAAAATTGTTTGAATGTAGTACGTTAACTGCTAACAAGTAGGGACCATGCCATCGTATATAATGGGATATATATTAGCGCATATTATTTATATATATATATATTTGATTAACATAAGTAAAACAGTAGATTTAGCAAACCATTGTCTATCTACCTGTTTGTTAGTATGTTAATTTAACTATTTAGTTTTTGTCGTAGGCAGTACTCATTAGTTTAAAGACAGTTTCGAGTTTTTACCAAATATTTAGCTATAATTTATGTATATGTATTAAATAATCTGGTTCTGTAAAGAATACATACAAGGTGAGATGAAAAAACTGCAACAAAGTAAAACGCCATAATTTTTTCATTTTTTTTAAATTTTATTGAATGAAAGCAAAAAATGTCGGGAATCGGTTTAGATTTGTTCGAATTGGCCACCTTTGGCACGAACTATGGCCTTCAAACGGCCAATGAAACCATCACACGCTGCCCGAAAGTGGCTCTGCGGTATTTTGTCCCATTCTCGGCGAAGCGCTTGCTTGAGATGATCGACACTTTGGTATTTTTTAGTGCCAACCTTGCTCTCCAAAATACTCCAGGCACAATAGTCCAACGGATTGGTATCCGGAGATTTTGGTGGCCATTGTGCGGTGGAAATGAAGCGAGGAACCTCATTTCTTAACCATTCTTGGGTGGCGCGTGCTGAGTGCGATGGTGCTGAGTCCTGTTGGAATGTCCAAGGTCTGCGGCCGCAATGTTTGCGTGCCCAGGGCTTCAGAACTCCCTCCAAAAGATTTTCGCGATAGATTTGCGCATTTAATTTGACCCCACGGTCGATGAATACGAGCGGCGAGCGACCATCGGCTGTTATGGCGGCCCACACCATCACCATGGCCGGCTTTTGAGTTGTGATGGCCAACCGAAGTTGCAAATTTTCAGCTGACCTCTCTGGCAAGTAAACACGATCATTTTGTTTGTTTACAAACTGCTGGATAACGAATGGTTTCTCATCGGAGAAAACCAAATTCGGCAGTTCACCACTTTCGGCCAAGCGAAACAACTCTTTAGCTTTTTCGAGTCTAACTTTTTTTTGCGCATCAGTAAGATCTTGCACTTTTTGGAACTTGAATGGCTTTAGTCCAAGCTCATTTTTCAATATTTGCCGAATGGCATATTGCGATATGTTCAGCTCACGAGCCATTTTTCGTCCACTGCGACGCGGATTTCGTTCAATTCGCTTTTTCACTTTTCGAACCATTTCTGCCGATGTTGCTGTTTTTTTTCGTCCACTTCCTTGACGTCGGGCTACGCTACCAGTATCATGGTAACGAGCGATGGTACGAGACACAAAACATTTATTCACTTCTAAATGCTGGAGGGCTCTAACGATAGCCACTTGTGGTTTTCCAGCCAAATGCAAAGCAATCACACTATCACGCTTGAATTCCATCACAAATAACTTTTTTTTTGAAAAATTCCCACCAAAATGCTTTTGTGCGCTTGTAAACAATATAATGAGCTGTCACTAGAATAAATCTGACAGCTGTGGGACGAGCGGTTTAGAAATGACAGCAGTCTGAAGTTGGTTGCAGTTTTTTCATCTCACCTTGTATATGTCTATATAATATATATTTTGTTATTAATTATATAAAGATCTACTTTATTTTTATATTAAATATTGTTCATATATATATTTTTAGCATTGTTTTGGATATATAACTATTATAATAAAATAATTAAAATTTCAGTAGTAGCTCTGGATCTTCACGTACTGGTTCACGTTCACCATCAATACCCAGAAGACGTGGTTCTCCGAGTTTCCTTGACCGACGCCGTATCACAAGGTAGATGCGAATTGATATTAAACAACAACACCTTCATTTTTTGCCATTCATTTTAAAAATTAAAATTTTAATTTCTGACTTATTTTCTAACTTTTATTTCATTTTATATTATTTGTAGCAAGAAATCACCACGTGAAGCCAGACGTTGAAATTGAATTATAATTTTAATTATATTTATTTTTGGACATAAATGTTGACATATTAATTAATTTGATTTTCTATGAGCACAAATCCGCATTTCCCGCTTCGAATTAAATTTGCAATATTTTCAGCATTTATGTAAATTTAAATTAATCAGATGTTTTATATTAAAGAAAAATATTTTACTTTAATTAAAATATATAAATAACTTAAATGTATGCTTCAATTTAGTATTAATTCCCGCAAGAATATGTAAAATACATTTGATTTGTAGCATTACTAAGAATTTGTTTTTTCTTTTAGACTTAATGTATAATTTATAGTTTTTTTTAAACAATTACATTTATATAATTTGTATTTTGAAGGTTAATATATTTTAATTATTGTTTTGGTAAGTTTTTTATATAATTTTTTATATCTATAATTTATATTCTTTGTTTCCAATTATATTTATATATTTTTCATTTTAAGCTAATGTGTTTTAATTGTTGTTTTGGTAAGTTTTATTTTTTATAATTTATATTTTTTAATCATTAATTGTTTGCTATATTTATTAATAAATTTTCATTCAATATAGCGCACGAAAACGTCCGATACCTTATCATCGTAAAACGCCTTCAGATGCATCAAGCTATTGCTCCAGTTGCTGTAGTCGTGAGAGTTCACCACGTACTCCTTCGCTTTCACCAAGCTGTAGTCGCAGTCCGTCGACGGCTTTCTGAGTGTTAAGGAAAAGCTTAGCCAAAGTACTAAGCAATGTTTCTGAATTCCAAAATGTCCATAATATGTGAAAATGTACTTGAAATAGAAAATACGTTCCACAGTCTAGTCATTTTACATTTTTCATTTTAGAAATTTTTAAGCCTTTCTAGTCATTCCGATATTTGCATTGTTGATATTTATAGTTCTGATATTATAATTTAGTTAATCATTTTATTTATTTAAATTAGTAAGTTAGTAATTTAAGATAAATTATTATATAAAAAATATATTTGTTGCAATTCCGATATAAATGTTTTTTCATTTTATAATATTATTTACATTATATATACTTTGCACTTTAATATAATAATCTAGTTAAGGTGTTCTCAGCAAAAGTGTCACCTGTCGTTAATTTTTTTCGATTTCCAGTTAAAAATACTTATGTAATCGTTCTTTAAATAAAAGGAAAACTATAAACAGATTTTAAATAGACTCATTGACAGAATTAATGAGCCACCGGTAGAATTATAACAAAATCTGAATACCTTATTAACTATATTTAAATCTATTCTTTTCTGTGTATTGGTCCGTTTATAAATTTATGACTTATAAAGAGTTAACTGCTTGATTTTAACACAAGTACTTAAAAATTTGACCTATTGTGCGGAATAGGTGGTCAAAAATTGTTCCATTACTCAACGCTTGTAGCTGATCTTGTTTTAAGCAGTCGTTGATAACAATCAATGAATTCAATTTATTTGATTTGGAACTACGCAATTTTTAAAAACCGATGAAAGGAAAACGTTATATTTCTAACATAATATTACATTTATATAAAGAGCTTATTTCTAGAAAGGTGCTTAACTAAAAAATAGGCTGCAAAGGCACATCATACAGAATTAGTTGTATCTGTTATATTGTTGCTTGGATTTTGCTTATCGGGCAAGTGTTTTCTAGAACGTTATCGAAATAAACACAGTCTCTTGCAAGAACGCAAATAATATTTTAATTATTAATTAATTAATAATTTAAAAAAATTGGAATATATCTACTCAATCACAAAATGAATAAAGCAAAAAGCCAGTTAGCCTTGTTATTAATTGGGGAGAAATTCTAAAGAAAAACAGTTATTTTTTTATTATACTCTCGCACATCCAGTAATTCTCAACAAACTAGTGCCCTTTAAAACCAATTGGTATTGGTAAAATGTATATATTTTTTATTTAATTGTGACTTAAAAGTTAAAAGGTAAGTAATAAATTACAAAAATCAATTAATTTTTTTTATATTAATTACTTAGAATCTTTGATTGATCATTTAATTATAAAATTTATTGTACAAAAAATTGTTCATTTAAATTTAATTATATGTACACACATATATATCAAATAGTTAACATATACACACAGGTATTAAGTAATATCATCCCATTCACCTAATTGTTTAGTTATTAAAAACAAAATATTTAAATGCGTATTTATTAAGGATACACTTATTTATCCTTAGCAGTGGCAGCGGCAGCGGCATCAGCTGCTGCTTTTTCTTGCAAACGACGACGTTTGTGTGCAATGAATACCACCCAAATGAAGGATACAATACTCATAGTCACAGTGCGGAGCTGCAAATCATATACAATAAGATAAAATTATTTGATGAGGTCATAGTCTGATATTTATCTGATATTTAACTTTACCATTGGTGGCACAAACGCCATATTTACGAACACAGCCAGCGACAGATATTTCCAATTGGCTTGTAGCAGTGGCCAATATAATTTCTGCAAATTGGCTACAGCAGTCTTGTGGGAGTTACATTCAAATCGTGATAGTGAGTAGAGCGAGAGTGCTTGATAAAAAGGCGCAAATATTATACGTTCAGATAAAAACAAAATAAAACGTCGGAACTTAATATTTTCATTTAATAAACGCTCCATTGCTTGATAAAAATAGTGGGGTATACTGCCTCCGAAGATAAAACTAGAATAAAATAGTTTTATTAATTTAATAATTGTTTAAATTAAACACAACAACATAAGTTGATATAACATATAATTTGCACAAGATAATTTTTATTAAACAAGATTATAAAATACATGATAATACATAGCACATACATATGTACATATACCATATACAATATACATATTTCCATAACTAAGCAAAAAGAAAGGAAAGTATTGTACTTACCCAAATAATGCATAAGCCAAGACACTATGTTGGTTGACTTTCTTTTGTCCTGAAATGCGCTGCGAAGTATAACAAGCAGAAGCCGCCAATACTCCACTAAAAATAAAAACTCTTAAGAAACAGCACAAAAATCCGAGTATATAAAACCTTTGCCTACCTGGTAACAGACTTCGTGCGCACAGGATGGTTGAACAGTTGCTCCAAATAAACACCCAAAAGTGAATAAATAGGTTTTGACAGGGACATGTTTCTAGAATTTAATGTTCAGTTGAAATAAACTTTAAAAAAACAGTTAATATTGTTTCGTCAAGTTCGCAAATAAATGTCATAAAGTTGACCAAAGTACAAAGATCAACAACTTAATTTATTTGTACCAGTAAAGGATTTGCTAAATAATTTTTAATTGTAGTTTGAATTTATTCTTGTACGTATACTTACGTTAAAGTAAATAATATATTGTTTTAAAATATAAAATTAACTTAAATATGAATTCTTGTTATTACTTCGACGGAATGTGTGAATGCAGTAGCGGCAACTGACTCCGTATTTCTCGTAGCAATTATTTTTTTTTTGTTTTCATTGTCCTCTTCTAATCTCATTCGTGATAATAATCATAATCAAAATAAAATCGCAAAGAATTAAATGCAAATAATAAAAATAGAGTGGAAGAGTTATAAAGAAATGTGTGAATAAACATATGCAATATTAATATATGACCTGAACGCGTTTTTATTAGTATGCTCTGATTTGCTAAAGTGTTAAATATTGGTTACTTAAGCATGATATAAACGATGCTGCATATCTGCACACCAAGTATGAAGTTCAAGTATGCGCTTTGCTATACACTATGAAACAAGGTATGCATACTTCATTTTGATTTATTTTCTACAGCGTTCATCACAACAGCTGAGCAAGTACAGAGTGCGAAATACTAATCGGAACTGAATAAATTGAGGTGATGATAATAGCAACATGTTATTTATTTCGTTATATAAAATTTTATATTTCCTAGAATTAAACATAATTTCTTATATTAATTCTTGAAAGCAAAATTAATTTTAATTTGATTCTTTAAAATGTTGCATTTTAATATTTTTATTCACAAAATAATTTTTTATATATAAAAACTTACTTAAAATATGTTTTTAGCACAAAATAATTTTTAAAATATATGAACTTCTTTAAAAATTGTTTGTAGCATTTTTTTTTAAATTTGCTTCTTTTAAAGAAAATAAATGTCTTAAACTTTTCCAATTATTTTACATTTTTTTTCTCGATCTTTGCTGGTCCGACGCTCACCAAAATTCTTAAATTATGAGAAGTCTGCAGATTTCGATATACACAAAGAGACATATGTGCAGACTTAACAAATAATTAAAAAGTTTTAATTTTACCGCACACATGTCTCAGACCTTGTCTGCAAACATGTGGCATCATCTATATCCTGCTTAACACTCACATGAACATATAAAAATAAGTTTCAGAGTTTTACCGCGCACGTTTGTGCACCCCTAATTAAAAGTGTAACCCCTACTACACAGTTATAAAATATTTCTCTTTCGATACCGATTTATTTTTATTCGATAACAAGTACCCAGAATTGTTGGAATCATGGTATTCGGTATTAAATAAAAAGGAACAAGTGTTTAAGAGTATTTTTTTATTAAAAGCGGGAATTAAATTGTGTATGGTTAAATTTTAAATTTGTTTAGAAGTGCTATAATGTCGGTGAAAAGTGAAAGCAAAATGTGTGACATATGTCACAAAACAACAAACAATGAAGAGGACATTTATTTGTTTGGCGATTGGATGGAGCACAGGGGTGTTCGAGTCCACTACTATTGTTTAGTAAAAACATTTGTAATATTAGGTCTGTTCCACGAGCTATTCGTACTAAACCTCAAGTAAAATTTGCTCGACAATACACGAAAATTTGCTGGTGGAACGCACTTGTGTATGCGCAGTATTACTCGATGTTACTACGAGTAGCTCGTGGAACAGATTAATTTGATATTTTAATAAATACAATTTTATTTTTAGTTGCTTTCTACCAAGCTGCCACAAAACGGGAGAGAATTTACTGGCATTTTAGGGTTTTCAATGCGTGATATTCGCCATGAAATTAAATTAGCGAAACAGCGTTTCTGCGTGTATTGCGAAGAACAATACGCAAGCATAGAATGCCATGAATGTAAACAGTGTTTTCATTTAGAATGTGGCTTAATTAGAAAATGCTTGTTTCAATTTTTTGGTGAATTTCGGTCTTACTGCGATTTATGTCTGCCATTAGATGACACTCAAAGTAAATTAGTGAACACCCCACCGTCGTCTCATACACGTTGCTATATGTGTGAAGAAGCAATGGGCGTTTACTGTCCAACTATATGGATTTATGGTAAATGTTGTGGAAAAGGCTATGTACATCGTATATGCATGCAGAAATATGCATCCAATGCAGGATATTATTTAAAGTGCATTTGGTGTAAAGGTAAAGAGTTTCGTGAAAAAGTGAAGGAGCAAGGCATATGTGTACCAGACCGCGACGCAAAGTGGGAACAAAAAGGTGCCTTTAATGATTTGCACCGCGGACATAAGCGTTGCGATGTAGAAACGTGCCTATGTCCCCGTGGTCGGGAATATATTGGACATAAAGTTGCTGGTATTATTTTTATATTAATTAAAAATGTATTTGTAATTAAAAATATAAAATTTAGGTAAATGGAATATAATTAAGTGTACATTGTGTGGTTCTTTTGGAGGTCATAGTCCTTGCATCATGGGGAATTTAAATTTTAGCGAAAAAGTTAAAGGATTTAAATGTGAATTATGTGCTAAAACAGAAGCATGTTTGCAACAGCAAAATGAAACTTGTAGTCAGGGAAGCGTTTGCTCATATTTATCTGATATGGATAACGCAGCTAGTACAAATAAATTCCAAGAAAAGCGAAAATGCTTTTTACAAAACGAGAGTGATACTGCAGTTTCGAAAAGCAGCAATCAAAAGTCATGTGATGAAATGAAAACGGGTGCAACATGTAAAGAAATGCTAATTGAAAATTTAGAAACTGTTAAAAAATCGACAGCTAAAGATAAAGATAATGAGCTTGACAGAAGTGTTTTTCAAATTAAATGGCAAAGCTTCCAGCAAAATGATAGCCATATAAACGAAGCACATTCATTTACTGGAGACACAACAGTTTCGAATAACAGCCATCAAAATTTAGAAGCGGATGTAGCATCTGAAGATATGTCAGCAGAAAGTCTAAAGTGTATTCATATTTCATGTAGTACTAGCATTATAAAACTTACTCCATTAGTTATACAAAATTCAGAACAAAATGTTGAAAGACATGATACTGATGTTCTTGCTACAGAAAGTCAGAATATCGAAACTGAAGATATGCTTAATCAGAATGACGATCAATGTAATCCGACTGAGAACATTGGTTCAGTCGTACACAACTCGGATGAAGAATCTGATGAAATCGAATCAATCAGTGATATATGTACTGAAGAAGTAGATAGCTATAGCACAATATCTGGGATCAGTTATGATAGTGAGAATGAAGAATCTGGTGATATTAAATCCATTAGTGATTTCAGTTTAAACAGTGAAGAATTTAATGTATCTGATATATCTATCGACTCTTCGCAAAATGAGGATACAGAAGGTAATGTATTTAAACAGTCATCAATTATATCGTCGCCATCGCATGCGACACAAACTATTGAAAACGTTACTTGTTACGATATGTACGAATTTGATGATGAGATGAATTGTTTGGGTACATGTACTGTACGAATTGATTTCAAAGATCCTCGCTTTACCGACAAGTCGATTGAGGAAATACAAAAGACCAATGGTTTAATTGAAGAGAGAGACGTTATAGCACGTAATTCTGATATAGGTGAATTTGCTCAAATAAATGTAATTATTACATAATAAATTAAAATGTTTAGATCTTAATAATTTGTATGAATGTTTTTATTATAATCTTAAATATAACCATGTCTAGTATATTGTTAAACATGTTATAAGTTTTATGAACTTAATTTATTTTGTATATTTAAATATTGAATTATTGTTTCGTGATAAATTATTTTTTGTATTAATGAATAAATTTGTGTTAATCCATGTGAGTTAAAATTTTTTTTTATAGCAAACATTTATTTATTTTCATCATATAGTTCGAATGATCAATACTGAACGAACTACATTAAAATTTGATTCTATGATAAAAATTATGTTGCAATTGATCAATTTTAAAAATCTAATTTATTTTATTAATATGAATATACCCATATAGATCTGTTTAAATATGAACCATGATTTAATGATATCCACATAAATTATTTTCCTAACATTGGTAAATTTCAGTCCTTTAATGGATCTTTTGAGTTTTGAGAAGAAAAAAGTCGCAGGTCACCAAGTCCGGTAAAATCATGGCTGATATGGCTGATTGGTCAAATAGTTATACACAAGTAACGATGAGCGAGCACCTGATCTATTAATATCATATGATTAATTTAAAAACAAAATGTTGAGCTTTTACCATAATGTGCCTGCAGTCCTAATCTTAATTGTGATGTTATTGTGATGTGTGAAAATTTTCTTTTTTCCCAAATTTATATACCAATAAGTCTTTGAGTAATAAATAATAGTTATAAGAAAACCACTGTGAAATTAAGTTAGATGCGCAAACATGAAAGCCTTTTACGGATCCAAGGGTCATACAACTTCTTCATCATCATCATAAGATTTGCATAGTTATTTACAAGTGCCATTATATTTCTGTTAAAATTAGAAACTTTTCATTTTAATCGTGATAAATATATTGACAGTAAACGATTTTTTTCATTAATGTTCAAGTAACAGGAAATCAGGAAATACAAAGAAATACTTAATGAATGTTGAAAAGGCGGTGGCCTGAGTCAATTCATAGCTCGAGCTTCGAACTTTCGGAGAATTGAATCATTAATTAAATTAAATCATCAAATCAGAAATTAAATCATCAATAATGTTATAAATGAAAATGCTTTGGTGCTATGTTGGTTACTTGGTGACGAAGATTATGGTTTAATGCTTTGTGTTAAAGCACCGTACAATAATCTAACAAATGAAACTGGAAAATTGTGATTGAACAAATGTTTAGGCAATTGAAGCGAATTTCCCATTTTAAAGGCTATTACTTAGGTCGTGTGCGAGTTAGGCTAAGTTGCGTTTTAAATGAGGGAAATTGTAAGTTGTGCCGATAATGTATTGATGTGTAGAGTCATACTTAGCATATTTTCGAGGTGGCTAAGTCGAGACTAAATCGCCAGGGCTGCCATTTTAGTATTTTCATAAGATAATATTTTCATATGTGAATTTAAATGAATATTGAATATAGAAATTTTCAATAAAAAACAATTTTATTAAAACGTTTTGTTTTATTTGTATTAAAAAAAATTAATCATCATTATTAGAAAACTTTTAACCGAAAATTTTATCACTCTGTGCATATATTTTTCATTATTTAATGACCATTTGCAATAAATTTTGTAAATACCTGTATTTTTTAAAATTTTTATTACATTTATTTAATATTATAAACATTTATTTGATAAAATTTTATTATAGTGGTTGTTTCCAAAAAAATAATTGAATTTCTTTTCATTTACTTGGCAATATTGTTTTGGTAATGAGGGAAGTTGTAAGTTGTGCCGATAATGTAGTGATGTGTCGATACGTGTTGATAAATGGCTGAATGTGTGCAGTGCAAGAAATCCCAATAAATCTCCCATTTGGTTTAGCATCAACTTAGCCTAACTCGCACACGACCTTAATCTAACTCCCAAATCTCCCATTTGGTTTAGCATCAACTTAGCCTAACTCGCACACGACCTTAATATTATGTTTCCACTGCGGATAAAACCATAATTTCATTATGTTAATAATGATGTTAACTATTGATAGTGGCACTGTGCAGGACATGAGTGCTGCGTAGTGCTGCTTAGTACAAAGATGAACATAATATCGAGATTTAGCTTTTTACAGGTTAACGACGAAAGTTAACATTTCGAAAGCAAGTGTATATACAAAACATGGCTCATAAACGAGATAATTCAAAACAAAGTGCGCGCGTTTGTAAATCGGTGCCTTCGGAAAATATTACATATCTTTTGGCCAAATCGAATTGGAAACCAACAACTGTGTGACAGAACGAGTACAAACGACATCAACATAAATATCCGCAAGAGAAAGTCAAGTGAAGTTTGTTTTTAAGCCCTTACGTATAATCCGCAAGGGAGAAGAATAAGAGGAAGGCCTAAGAATACCTAGCGCAGATGAAAACTAAACGAAATTAACAGCCAATCCACACACCTTGGCAGATCATACATCAATATCGTTGAGCTCAGAGAAGTGGCAGTTAAAAGGCAAAGATAGAGACAATTTGTAAATAGCTAATGTCCAATATAGAGGCAGCTTGGAATCATGAGTCGCTAAGCAAGGCTTAATAATAATGAAATTAAGATTCGGTCATTTCCATTGGCATAAGTAGATTTGTGCAAGTGAAATAAGTTGTTTGTTTGTATGCTACATATAAAACATATGACAAATATTTCAAATGTTGATAATTTCCTTTGTGGGAAATTTATTTTTAAGGGTTGTATTTAACATTTTTCACCTTAAATCAGTTAGTTTATTGTTAATGAGCTCATTTATATAAAAGCGCTTTGCATAGTACATTATAGTCATTAGTGGCCTTAGAAATCTTATGTACTTCTGCATCAATTTATCCTAAATAATAAAAGTAACTTCTTTTATTACGAAACATGATGTTGGCTTGTTCATTGGGCACATAAAATCCTGTCCCATGTCGCGTAAAAACGACCCTGTTGCATAAAAATGCAGCCCAGCAGTTAACCTTATGTGTTTTGGTTTATAGGTGTTTCTGATTCCAATTATCATAAATGGACATATTTCTTCCAAAAGACGTAGAGTTATTTCCTTATTAAAGTGAAATAGCTCGACAAAGCGCGCTTCGGGTAAATGAAATGGGTCAGTTGAATCACGTAAATTAATGCGAGGCATATTTCTGCGATCGTGTACCACTGCAGTTAAAACAGTACGACATTCCTTTTTTGATTCTAAAAAGAATCAATATTTATTTCTTCATGATTTTCAAATAATTTTGAATATCTTACCGCAAACAATTTGCAAACTTTTAAAATAGTCTTTTAAATCGAACTTTCAAAAAACGTTACATTTTCATCAGTTCCTTTATGGCATCATAATGTTCTCGCATGGTGAATTTTTTGTGCTATATAAATGGCAAACTCGAAAGAAGTGACAAAAAGCAAATGAGAGCATTCTCGCAAGATATCATTCGAATTGAACCCGAACTATTAATATAAACGAGCCACAGAAAATGGTAAAGTAAAAAAATGTGGCAACGCATGGTTGGGCTTTAACTCGGTTATTAAAAAAATACTTGAAGTGTCAAACAGACTGGAGGTGTACACTACCTATTGTCCTACTGTACACCGGAGTATGGGCTGCTGTCAAAAAAATTCAAATTAACAGCTGTTTTTACATCTGCATTGTGAATGATAGCAGAAGTCCGCTTGTGAAATCTATAAAAATTCAAAATTGAAACATGTTTATAATTATATAAGCATATAGCTCAATTTTGAAGATTAATTTGATTGGTAATGGACCCTACTGATGAGAGTAAGCGTAAACCTAGGCGCACGCGTGGTACACCTTCATACTATTACCGAAATAGGTTTGCTGCAGGTGTCATAGCCACCGGAGTTTTGTTTTTTGGCATTTTTACGTGAGTTTCTGTTAATCAATTAATTTTCTAACTGATATTAAGGCACTTTATAAATGTATAGATTGACACCGATATATCGTTTTTCAAATGAAAAAATAACAACACGACTACTTGTAGATAACGAGGAAGTTAAAGCCCGAAAGGAATTCTTCAATTACACCGTACCGAAAACCTCTAAATTTATAGAAGAAGCAATGAAAGAGAAAGAAAAGTTGTTTTCTGAGCGCTAATAATATAAACGTTTAATTAAAATATGAACCGTGAAGCACGTAAAGCGAATTTGAAAAAACTACAATTGCCAGGTTCAACAAAAAATACTAAAAATGCACGGTAGGACCATAACCTATTAGCCTATCTAGTAGTAAATGATATGTAATTAATGTTATCTAATAAATACCAAATGATATGGTAGAAACTTATAAATGCTTTTTCTTATAATATTTTAAGCGAAACACGAAGCTCAGCACCAAAAACAACAATTTCTAATTATTTTGCTTCTCCAAACGTTAAAGACAATAAGTCCAGCACTCAAGAGCTAGAGCAACTGGGAAATACTAATAGTCCAATAGAAGACATTGATATAGATCAAAATGTATTAAATAAAAAAGCAAACTCTGAATTAGAAAAAAAGTCCCCTGCTCCAACAAATTTGAAAACAGTCCGCAATAAACGCACGAAACTTAATACGTTTCTGTATAGCAAAGATTCAATTTCAACCGATAATCCCGAGAAGGAAGAATCTAAACATTGTGATGATTTTGAAACAGCCAAGAAAAAAGTAAAGAAAGCACCTAAGCTAAAAGATACAAAAAAGAACTTAAAAGTTTTGAAAAAGCAACCGAAAATTAAAAGTGCTTTCCTGCGTAATGAGCAAATATTTTCTGAGATAACTGCTCAACATTGTGTAGCAGATAATTTTAATCCAGATGAAGTTCAATTAGCTTTGGCGCTATCTAAATCGGAGGTAGAAAATGTTGTCAATTATAATGACGATGTCATTGTGGATTTAATATCAGACGATGCAACAAACTCAAAAAATGTGAATAGCAACGAAAATATTAGAACTCGGCTTCAAAAGTATGGCTTCCGTACAGCAGCACGAGAAGGTCAGTTGATTTAATTAGCTATTACAAAAATTGTAGATATAAACTGAGATCTGTTTCACAAATTTTTGAATCGTTTCAGATTATAGTAAAATAGCAGCGGCTTTGGTGCCAGGTGCTTACAGGCGATCGAAGTCTAAATGGGCTAACAAATTTACAGCGTTAACACTGCGTAATGTAGAAATTCAACAAAAAAAACTTGATGATAAAATTAATGCATTTTTAAAACGGCAAGTTAAGCCTAAACCGTTGTGCCACGAGGACGCATTTACAAAAGAATATGATGTAGTCAGCAATAACCTAAGAAAACTGCAAGTGTCCACTGATAACAGAGTTGTACAAAGAGAAGACAGTTCTGTTCATGTGCAGCTAGAAAATTATTTTGTTAAAGAATTGTTTAATGTATCTTATTTAAATGCTGGCCATTTGCTTAAAGATTGGAATGCGATACAAGGCCGTGACATGACACCCCGTGCTAAAAACTGTCAAAGTAAAATTATTGAAAAGGCTTTATATAAAGCTTATATTGAGTTAGAAAATTTTTTAAAACAATTGGACCAAACGGAACTAAAGACGAAAAAAAGCGAAGATATAGATGAAGCTGCAAGCATACCGAATGATATTAAAGAAGTTGAAAGTCCAGCTGAAATGAATATTAACGAAGAAAATTTCAAATTAATTAAAATTGGGATACAAAATTTGCAAACTTTAACTTGTAAAAGTAAGTCACTGGATAATTTATCCAGTTTAGAACATTTGTCAAGTTCTGTCCATACTACAATAGACTTGTGTAACAGTGGCGATGAAATGGAAACAAATAGTGATGCTAAAACTGTTGTAGAGAACATAAACAAATCAACTCAATTGTCCATCATTTTAGAAACACCAGTCAATAATATTTTAATTTCAAATAACCCACAAGTAAACCAAATTTGTGATAAGAAGTTAATTGAAGAAATATGCTCGCCCATTCATTTAGGAATACCCGATAATGACAAGTTAGATACAAATTTTTCATTCACAACAGAAACTAGTACAAGTCCAATTAAAGAGCCACCACTTAAAAAGTTAAAACAGATTCAGAACATAATATCCCCACCAAAAAAGAAATCAACTAGTGAACAAACCAGCAAGCCATCGGATAAAATCTCAAATACTCAACTTTGTAGAGAAAAATCTCCCGATTTATTTGCGGACTCAGATGATGATTTCGGTCAAGGTATGTTGTGTCTCATATGGTTTTTGTTGACAGTTATTATTTTGTCATATTAAATATAGAGAATATGTGTGATGTGGATGTTGAAAATAACTCAAAGGAATCTAGTCATGGTATAACAGTTTATGAGATTTTCTCCAGTGATGAAGGTATTGTACATTCGATAAATATTTTTTTATATTAACATTAATTCATATTATTCTACTTAGTGAAGACTACAGATATTAAAACAAATGAAAGCTTTTCAGAAGGTTAGACGTTATAAATTTTTGTTTTCCAAATAAAATAATAAAAAACTATTCTCCATTCTAGCGCCAATGATTGATTTAACTGCAAACGCTGATGATATTTCTGCAATTTCTGCAAATAATGTTTCTCCCTTACATTCACCATTAGCGTATCACAATAATTTGACTACATTGAATTTTTCGCTCCGAGATTCTATACTGATTGACAGTGGGAAAATTAAAGAAACTAATAAAAATATTTATAACAAAAAATCTCTAACTGACAACTTTGTTGGGCAAACATATAAATCTAATCTCGATAAATCTGAAGTATACGATGTTAATGAAGTTGTATTTAATGACTTAGTTAAGAAATATTTAAAACCGGAAGGCAACCAATTAAAGAAGAGACAGTCAGTTTCATTGACGCAATTACCAACCGTCAACAAATATTTCCATTTAAATGAAATTGCAACAAATGAAAACATCAGTAGAGAAAAGCATTACGATGAACCAGGTAAACCAATGCAAAGTATGAAAACCGAACCTTCTAGTTTTAAAAAGTCACTATCATTTACAATGAATCCAATTGATGATATGTGCATTGATTTAACGCAAAATAGCGACGAAGATGATGGCGATGGTAAAAGCATTGATAATAAGTCTGCTAGTCAAGAAGTAGAAGATGATGAAAATGAATGTTTGATATTATCCGATGATGAAATCAATTACTCCATTTGGCAAGCGGATCGTACAAAGAACTTTATAAATGATGACTTCGCTCCATTAGAAACAGAAGACTTCAGTTTAAATAGTAGTTCTGATCATGATATAAATCAGAATACCAACCAAAATAAGCACCAAAATGAAATTTCCGAAGAACACAATCAACATGAATTTTCTATATTAGATTTAGTCAGTGATGAAAGTTCTGATAAGAAATGTAAGGAGAATTCGATGTTTGAGTGCGAAACTGAACCAATACTAGAACAGTTTCTTAAAACTACACTTCCCACAGAAACTATGAATTTAAATGACATATCAAGGGAACGTGCTGAATTTGGTATAATGGATAGCTACTCTGAGCCATTTACACAATCGCCATTACAAACACCAACCAAAGCTACCTTTGACACAAAACAACTGTTGACAGATGCTTCATTTTTACAATCGCCTGGTGAAAATATGGTTGCCATTAAACGTTACAGTAGCATAGGAACGAATAAATTTGACGATCTCTTAAAGAAGGTGCGAGAAGATAAAAGTGATACGGATGAATTCGATGAGTTCGACAAACTAGTATATGCTACTCCAAAGAAAATTGATTCTTCTATTATTGAACCCAGCGGCATGAATAAGTTACTTACGGCAAAATTAAATTTCTCTATAGAAACAGAGAGAGATGAAGTAAATATTAATAATTTAGAGGAAAATATAACTCAGGAAGTACACGTTAACTCTAGAGCATATAGCGTTCGCTTAACAGCTGCACCTAAACCTGATTTTCTACAACTAACTGAAGCAGAACTATTAAAACTACTTTATGGCTTTGGTATCAAACCATTGAAGCGTAAGCAAGCTATTAAAATGTTGGAATACATTTATAATCAAACTCATCCTTTAATTATGGATGAAGTTTCAGAACTTTTAGAAACTAATACTTCTAACACCTCCAATGAATATAATATGCTTGCAAACAATTATTCTGCAAGTGCAGTCGCTTCTACACAAAATATTTTGGAGGGGAACAAGGAGGAACTGTTAACTCAAATTGCAGCAAATAACAAAATAACACTACAAGATTCTTCTGGTAGCAATTTCTTACGCTTTGCACATAAATTATTCCCTGAATTGGAAGATGAAGTATTTATTTTACAAACAAATGTTACAAAAAAAGTGAGTTCTGCCAATTGTATTCTATATTTTATTTAAGTTATTATTCAGAATGCGGGAATATGGTTTAATATTATTTAATTTTATTGTTATAGACACAACAACCGTTATTACCATTTCATATAGCCTGGTTCAATCTGGTTTGCGCTAATCCGTCTCTGCATGAAGCAATACTAATGTTCCAACCAATCGACTTACAAGATGTATATTTATTTCTAAAAAATTTGGGGTATCGTTACGATCCAAAGGTGCAATGCAAACACAAGTTAAACTAATTTTAAAATATTTATTAAAAATATTTTCATTTTTAGGATCTAAAAATATTTTTTGACAGACGTTGTATAATATTTCGATACGATTTGACTGCAGCTGCAGGAAAGCCATCAAGTGGAAGTAATCGTCATGTCCGTAAACCTAAGAGCAAAAATAAATATAACTCAAAACCATAATTCTTAATATATTTTATTATACAAATTTTTTTTTATATAAATAAAAATAGAAGATTTATTAGGCTTTTTTACAACGGGTTCAGTTTTTCTATTTATGTTATATTGTATGCATTTGATTATTTATAAAGAAATGCAGTAATATTAATGTGCGATTTATTAATTATTTATATAAATGTATTGAATATTACAAATTTAATTATATTTTTCAGGCATGTAATTTTTTTTGAAATTAAATATAAGTGTTAGAGCATTAGGGTATATTTTTTAAACTTAATTTTTTTCACTACTAGGTATAATTCTTATTATTGTAAACGATTAGATTATAGTGAACGATTTTTAAGGAATATGTTTTATTTGTAAATAATTATAAGCATTCCTAAAAACTGATGTGCATTTAAATGTTAGTTTAAGTAATTAAAAATTTATAAATATATTTATTATTGAAGTGAAACAATAAAAATTATAATAGAATAAAATTTTTTTACATCCCACTATTGTTTTATATTATAATTACATACATATATATTTTTAAACTCTGGATAAAAGATAAATATTACTTATCGTCTTTATCTCTAACCAGTCCGCGCCAGAATATATATATAAAGTTTCCCTTCCTTAAGAGTTCGTATTCCACAGTTAAAGATATTCAGTGGTGTTGCATAATTACAATAGATATTTAAAAATAGATATGTATTTCTTCAATTAAGCTTGTTAAGTTTGCACTGAATGTCTTGAACGAAGACCGAACTATATCACGATACATAAAAGCCCAAAGATTGCGCTGGCATGGACACGTCCTACGAATGAGTAACGAAAGAATGACTAAGAAAATTTTCGAGACAAAGTCAGAGGGGAGTTGAAAAGAGGACGACCGCGACGAAGATGGTGACAAGATGTAGAAGACAACATACGAACGATGAGAATAACATAACACAGAAAGAAAGCGAAATGCAGAGAAGAATGGAGGCGTATTGTAGAGGAGGCAATGGTTCATCCTGGAGTGTGATGCCAAAATGTTGATGATGATGATGAAGTTTGAACTGATGTTTCAATCATGTATGAGCACGATAAGTATCGTTATGACTATTAGTGTCGATAGTACCGTAAGTATCGTTTCGACTAAAAGTGTCGTTTCAACTACAAGTGCCGATATGACTTAATTGTCGAAATGACCATAATGTTCTACGACCGGCCGGGTCCCGCACCCACTCGTCAATTACGACGACATAGTCATATTATGGATAAACCAATAATCGCTATGATGATTTTTTTTATAAAAAAATGAGAATTTTCTTTAAACTGTTTAAAAAATTGATTTTATAGAGTGCAGACTTAAAATAGATTTCCTTTGTGAGGTGATTACTGATTTTGTAGTATTAATAAAAATAATAATAATAATATTAATAAAAACCTAACCCGAAATAAAAATTCTGTGTCTAACAGCGGACAGGTCATTCATGATTACGTACCACTGACAACTTCAATTGTAATTTCATCGTCTAAATATTCATCAGTAACGCTCTTTTACGGGTGTGGGAAACTAATATGTTGTTGTTGTTGTAATCTGCAGGGATCTGTAAAAGCAGATATTATGAAAGGGACTACAAGACGAATACATGTTGATGGGTATTGCTTGTGTAAGAGAATATGGAACTATTTAGAAGTGAAAGTGGATTGGAAAATGGGTGGGATTTGAATTCCAGTTAACCATGATCAAGACGGAAAAACCTAGCCAATTCTATAAAGCGAATCCAAAAATCAACAGCACTCAGGTGAACGACATCATATGGGATAATCCTAAAATGGACTACACAAGCAAATAAGTCTTTGTTATTTGAATATATCGTCCAAACGTCTTTAATCTGATCGTGGATGAAATAATTTTGATTTGTTTAATGTAGCTAGACTAAGTTGTACTTAGTCTAATAGCATCCAATGTTTCTGAACCTTTTCGTACCAGTTGCCATGGTAATCACTGTATTCTGATATTCAAAATAGGGAAAAGCTGTTATGTTTGCTAGCATTATTCGGAGATGCGACATAGGATTGGATAACACTTCATTTAATTTTTATAGAATGTATGGCTTTAATAATTGTTTGGTTATCGTTGTTTTATATCAGTGTTTCACATAATATTCTTTCATCGCCAACTGTGAATGTTATCACTTCTCCTTCAAATAAACTTATAAGCTCTGGTATTTTGTGTGATACGAGTAACTTAAGCGTGTTGAATACTGAGTAAAGTCCATATCTAAGCTTTTTATCTAGCTATCATTGTGAAACTTTACTACGGACAAAAAAAATAAAATTAAAACAATAGCAAATATAAAAGTTAAAGGTTTTATTAATAAAAGAATGAGTGAAAACTACTAAATAGTATTTGAACAGAGACACGCATATTTCTTTGTAAAATCTTTCATACAAAGGTATACTAAAAAAAAAAACATATATCTGAGATATAAAACTTTACTTTTATTAACTTTTTACTTTAGTCTAAATTATTTTATACTTATAAACCTCTGTGCAGATTTAAGTTTCGATAATAATATTGTGTGTAAGCATTAGAGATACATATATAAATATTGGACGAATTTGAACCATCAAACAAATCCCATATGGCAAAGTTTTAAAAAAATCAGATTCATGTTTTCTAAAATACATCCATATATTTACATATATTTTTATACATATGATGTATTTTACATATATATTATATTGCAACGTATACATGTAATTGACAATTGCACTTTATGTATTTAAGTATTTACTAATTATAATATATAAAGTATATGAGTTGTTCATTAAATAGTTTGTACTTAAGTTTATATACATACATATTTATATTAAAATAATAATAAAAATTGTTTAAGATAATGTTCGGACTTGTTACATTTTAAAAACAAAACAGAAGTTTGTAATTTGTATTTTAAAAATTAGTTTCAAATAATTTCAGATAACATGATGGTGGGACCGGTAGATAATACAATTTATAACAAAATATAATCTGTTTTTAAAAAATAAAGTTTAAAACTAAAGATATGAGACCAATAATTTGAACGAGATATACAATAAAAGAGAATAAAATAATAAGAAATACTAGATTCTAGTAGCGGCAGGGTATGCATGCCTTAACCACTCGTCTACAACCAACAGCTGATTGCATTTCTCCGATAGGAATAACACCAGAAGGTCGCTCGGGTTACAACATAAGATATTCCATAAGCAACAGATTGAATTAGAAATCACATCAAAAAGTGGTGGTGGTCTTTTGTTGCTAGAAATGAGCTATTATGAGCTATATGCAAACATTCCACCATCAAGAAATCTAATCTGACGATTATAAATTTTACTTAAAAAACTGTTTAGATAATTTTTCTTTAAAAACTTTTGAAGAGTATTTTTCTAATTTTGTTGTTGTTTTAACTCCCACGTAAAACTACTATACTGATTATTTATAAAAGACTACAAGTTCTTTTAAGTTAGTGTAAATAAATAAAATTTGAACTAAAACCTTAGATCACAATTAATAACAAAACAAAAAATGCTTAACAAAAAACTAAATATTGTTACATTTTTACGTTAAATTACACGAACTGCTGCAACTTTTTAAGGGCTTACTCTGTCCCAAACGTATCGCATCATCTTCATCTTGCTTTACATCACTAACGTCATGACGTCGCTATTTTTGATAGTTAACAATATATTATTATATTAGAAATGTTTACTCTAATATTAAGAGAATAGTTACCTTAAGTTCTGTGGCAAGACATAGGAAAGCATCTTCCACATTCATATTTTCTTTTGCTGATGTTTCCATAACGAATAGTATTTCTGGTATATACTGGCACATTTGTTGTGCTTCATCAAATTCCACTTCACGTTCTTCTTCGAGATCACATTTATTCCCTACCAGTATGAGAAGTACATTAGAGGCAGTATATCTTCGCACTTCTTCAATCCACTTTTGCAGATTCGAAAAGGAACTACGCTTCGTGATGTCATAAACTAAAAACGTATGCAAAAAAAAAGAAAAACATATATATATATATATATAAATTTATATTTCACAAAGCTATAAATAAATTTATTATTTAAAGTGATTTTTTATTTGCACAATAAATGATAAAAAACTTATAAATCTAGCAATGTAAGTGCGGGGATTATACAGTCATAAATTGATAAGGTTATTAGTGTACCTCTTGCCATTAGTGAATAATGGCAAGCGGCAAGTGAGCTATCATAAAAATATTATGGCCTTAGGAAATGATAAATTAAAATTAAGAGGCATGCCTCTTACCGATAATTACTCCATTAGCTGACCGATAATAACTTTGTGTAATTGTACGAAATCTCTCCTGCCCTGCCGTATCCCAAATTTGTAACTAAAAAGTTAATTGGATTATTTTATTAAAATTATTTCAAAATTTTTATATAAAAAATATATAAAAGTACTTAATTATTTACTTTAATTTGTTTGTTTAAACATGTTACCCACTGTCTTCACTGCACACTTCTTACCTTCACTTGCTTGCCCTCGACATTGATAGTTTTCATTGAAAAATCTACGCCAATGGTATTCCCATGTCTTTCTATAAAGTTACCTGTCTTGAAACGTTCAACAATACAGGTTTTCCCTGTTCCACAATCCCCGATTAAAACGACTTTAAAGAGAAAATCAAAATTCTCTTCTTTAGGAAGCTCCATTAATGTCTGTGGATTTCGGGCAGTCATGGTTTCTTTTATTTTTATATATTAATAAGTACTTATAGTTTACTTATAGTGTTTATGCAACTGTTTATCAAAGTAAGTAAATAGTATTTCCTATAAAAAAATGCGTAGGATATGCGTTTCACTTGTTATTATTATGAATGATAAAGCTGAACTATTTACGTACCATTCACAATAGATGGGCTTGTCATTTGACATTGACATTTAAGTGGTTGTAAATGCGTGATCTTATTTTAAAGGTAATGATCTAGTGTAGCTGCCTTATTTCTTCCCTAAAATTAGTTTTTATAACAGTTTTAGCACAATTTACTGTATTTAGTGGATGGACATTTTTCTTATGTTTTATTCTATTGAAAAGGTGATGAAACCAATATATGTCTAATATTTTCCTCCGTAATTTTAATTTTTTACTATTATCTATTTCACAATTATAAACAGTGAACTAGTGAATAGCGAGAGTAATGGGGTTTTTGATTGGTATATCTGAATTCAGATTTAAACTAGATTAGACAAACTAGATTTACTCTCGATCTGTTAAATTTTGTTACTCCATTCGACATTATTAGAGTAATCTAATATATCTGTAGTAGTGTTAATAGACGTATATAGTTTACATAAATATATACATCTAATCAAATCACACTTTATCTGTCAAATTATACAAAATAACTGTTAATTTCAGGGTATTCTCTAGCTACTTTGGCAAAATATGTAAAGTGTTATAAATTAATCCTGAGTGTTATACATCTTGCTCTGGATTTACTAATCTAAAATAAAATTGCACTAAAAGAGCATTTCGATTAAAAAAAATTACCCCAGATGTACCAATCGAAAACGCCATAGCAAATTTATATGTAATTTATGATATTTGATGTCAAAATACGTTTTTTTTTTTACCTAAACACATCCAATTAGAGCTCATGTATACAAATTTTCAATCAGTAGAAATAATTGAGTGCTTTTATATATTTTTCTTATTAAAGTCTAGTACTAATTTCAATTTTGCTCAATAATTAAGCGCATAATGATTGCAGTCACAGACAGATTACTACCACCTACCGTGGTAGTAGGTATTGATATTGAAAAAGAATTTGATTCCGTTTGTTTTAAGGAATTGGTCCACAAGTTTTGCGAGTTTGGCGTCTCTCCAACACTCTATAGTATTCCACAAGTTTCTTTCCAATAGGACATTTCAAGTTTCAGGCCACCGCCAAAGAAATCTGCTTCTAATGAGCATAATGCCCACCATAGGATCTCTCTCAATTACTACATCAGGTGTAAGATTGAGCTTAACTCCACTAAGATCTCTGCCATAGTTTCTCTATGACAAAGACGAGAACGGTCCAGTGGCTTAGTTGCCATTATTATTGAGCTAGAGTTCGACAATACCCCATTCAGCTTGTGGACAAGCTCAAGTATCTCAAATGTTGTGCTATCCCCTTGGCATAACTTTATCTCATATGTTGACTATGCCATCTATAATGCTAGGTGTAGGCATAATTAATTAAAAAATGCACTTCAAAGGCACAACCTGTTAAGTCAAGCTCTTCTACTATAAACAGCTCATTTACCTCTTACTCTTTTATGCTTTCCTCATTGGGTCTGCAAAAAGTTTCGCCCGGATGGAAAGAAGCCGTCTTTTGGAGCTCAAGCTTCTAAGTGATTTCATCAACTAAATGAGCAAGCCCGACAGTAAGTGCTTTTCCGACACCGTCCTCTCCGAGAAAGCTCAAGTTACTTGTATCGACGAGGACCTCCTGATACTTGTCCGAAGGTACTTTACGCGGTTGCATATGTCCATTCAAATCTTCTTCATTCATTTCTAGGAGGTGGTTTTCGTTGCTTTAAAAAAAAGTGGACAATTCAATTCGTCTCGGACTTTTGCCCGCGAATCATTAACGGTTCTAACTAAAAAACTAAAATTCAAAAAAAGTCGAATGAGGGTACTCGATTCGTTTCGTGACAAACGCAGAGCACAAGTAAGGCGTGTAGAATTTCACTTTGCTTTTAATAGATTGTGAGGTTCTGGTGAGGTTTACTTCTTTCTATAGAGGGTGGTAGTTATAAGATCATAACTAGTTAAGAAATCGTTGATTAATTTAACTTTTGATTTATTAAGACTGCAAAATGTGATCAAAATATAACTGTAAACCTGTGCAGAATCTTTAAAATCCAGATAAAATAAATACGTATCTCATCTAAGACTAAACATTTTTTTTAATTAATTAGCATATAAAGTGTTTTTTATTTTTTCATCCTAAGAGTACAACACGTATAACAAATTAATTCGAATATTGTCGTTGAATTACATTATTAAAAACTAAATTAAAATTAAATTAATTATTTTGAGATCTTATCGATTTAATACTTTCGAGCTAATAGAAAAACTATATATATATATATATATGTATCTTTACTTAATATGCATTTAAATGGGATTTTAATCCAACTGAAAATGGGATTTGCGGATAAAAGTATCTTTAACTAATTTAATGTTAGATAACTTTACTTACCTAAACAAAGTGAAAGAAAAGTTTGAATATTGTTTAAGGTACATCAAGTCACGTACTTATTAAACCTGATAGCGGCTTTTATTTGCAAACATAGGCTTTACTAATCTCTATTGTGTGAATATTTTTTTAATGGGATTTGCGTGCCAATTGCTATCGAACTCTATAAAATTTGTTTTATCAATATCTGTAATATAGCTACTAAAAAATCAACATTGCTGTAGTAAGTTTTTATAATTGCAACACATTCGGCGGCTGTTAAGCGAGCCGTATTGTGAAATGGCAAATCTTAAATCAAATACGAATGCTTGTTCATCTCAAAAAAATTCGACATATATCACTGAAACAGTGCTATCAATCGGGATCGTAAGGGATCCGGCTAGGTTTATCTGGTTGGCTGTCAGTCAAACATAAACCAATTTTTTCCTTGTGATATAAGATAAAGTTCTGAACCTTTAAGTAGATGTCGTATTAAATATTTTAGTTCTTAGTGACATTTAAAACCCATACGCTCTGTGCCAGAATACTTCTAGTATATACTTCGAATACACGCTACTAGTATATGCTTATGGTGCCAGCTTGTGGATGATCTTATGGTTATTAAATTTTTATTTATAAATAAAAAGGTTTATAAAGTTATAAACCTTTATAAGTTTTTATTCTAAAGCGTAATAGTAACATCAATTTCGCACGAATAATTGACATAAATCATTATTTAAAAAAAGTTCTGTGATATCAAAATTTTTTGCAATATTTTTTGATATAAAACTCTATTTTAGCAGTAATTTTACAATAGATTAATATAATATATTTATATATATATATTTTTTATATAGAGTTTTATGTCAATTTTCGTGCGAAAAATATGTTAGTGTTAGGCTTAAAGTGGAACTACAGTCTATTAACTAAATTTGTTATTAGAATTTTATTAAACATTTATATTTATTGTATTAAACTATTTTTAAATAACTTTGTCATCACTAAAAATCTTGGTGGCACCTATTCTGATCGATCTGACTGAACTGTCATCCTACAATATTAAGGACTTAGCCAGATTCATAGAACTGTCAAGTTGATTTACCTTCACCTAATGGGAGAGTCGTTGCATTTTTCGGCGTTGTTCGTAGGTCTTATACTGATCACCTTGACTATGTACCAACCAACATTATTCCTGTGGTATCACAACAGGCCATTATTTGAGCTCAAGTGGGCTTTCTTGGTACTCAAGGCCGCCACTACCAGCTAACCATCACTAAACCCATTCAGCTGATCATGCATTTAAAGATCTGTCTTGCACTTTATAGTACAGTACTAATACGCAGATTCGCAAGCTTTGATTATAAAATAAACTGCATCAAAGTAACTCACTTTCATACACACCTTACTCGCTGTTATTTATTAACTTTGATGCGTTTCTTATGCCTTTTACATGTTATTAAATTTTATCTGATAGTTCAAACCATAATTTCAAATTTATGAATGAAATATAAAAGTTTTTACTTCTATTCCCTAGGCTGAACTTAACACTTCACTGTTTCTAGTCCTATTAATTACGCAATATTGCGGTAATCAAACCCCCAATTAAAAGCCTGTTTAAGCAGTCGTAGTAGACGAAGTATGACTAGCAACTAGCAACTGGCAACTAGCGACTAGCAACTGGTAAGTGGGTAATAGTATTGGTCTTAAGTACTAAGCAGTTAGACTTGTTCTAAATCTTGTGCTAGTATGAGCATTTTTCAAAATTATTGTTATGCACTTTGTGAGGACTCAGCGGAACGTGTCGTCCAACTGACCGCTAGAACATGTTTATGCATTTCTTAAACAAACAAGAAATGCTGTCCAAATTCGACGGAGAAACCACATATGGATGGCGGGCTTTGTTGTTGATGCGAAGTTATAAATTTACTGTTTACTAACCGTTAATAGAGCGCAGACAAGCTTCAGCTAAAACAACAACAACCAGCATTTCAATGAATTCATTCTTAATATTGAGTAGGATTACTTCTATATGAGTAACTTATCCTCTGGCGCGACGTGGATGTGGTTATCACTTTAGTAGCTCAAAGTGTGCTGTTGCACTCCAAAACATTGTCACGTGAACCAAAATCAAGTTTAGTTCGCCTTAATGCGTCGTGTCTTGTTCTTGGAGTTTGACACAGTCCAGCATACAGCATCAAAAGCTACAAACTAGTTCCTAGAGCTCCGGCTTGAATTATTCCCTCATTTGGCAATCGTTACCGTTTCCAGCTTTCAGTGCACAACAGACGTTTGGGTTTGTTTAGATGAACTGCATTCGTGCTGCGAAGAACTTCTTCTTTTTATTTCTAAAAACAACAAGGAAATCGAAATTCAGTTATCACAACTCTGTAACTCTTTAACTCTGCTGCAACAATTCCAAATTCCAACTCCAATGTTGACTGAATTCAAAGCAACATCAATTACAACAATAATAGCAACAATGACAACAGCAACAACAGCAACAACTTGCCATCGATATGGACGTTTATTGTGGACTTTGTTGTGCCAGAGTGAATTTTATATCGTTTAATTCGCATGGCTGTTGCTTTAGTCGCGTTTAATCCGCTTATGAGTGCGGTTGCTTAACGGTTTTTTCGAACTCGAATTCTTGCTCA